ATGGGTGCGTTGCGCGTCCTCATGTGTCTCTCCTTCTCGCCATAATCAGAAACTTCGCTGACTGAACGTCTTCGGCTTCCGCACAGCGACCTCCGCGCCTCGCTCTCGAGCAAGTCCCCCTCAGCCGACACCCAGTCCCGCCTCGCCTCGCTCGAGAAAGAGAACGAGTCGTACAAAACACAGGTGGGCGAGATGCAGGACAAGTTGCGCAAGATGAAGGAGTTTATCAAGGAGCAGGATCGGTTGTTCAAGCGGGCTCACGCGGCGGAGCAGCAGGTGCGCCCCCAGTTCTCCTTGTCGCTTCGGCGATGCTGATGACGGTCAAATGCAGGGCAACTTCGAGGAGGCCGAGCAGGGGTTCAAGCAGCAGATTCGGCAGCTTGAGGAGCAAGTCGAGCGACTCAAGGTGCGTTCCCAACCCTCGTCTCGTCTTCTGCGCATGCTGAACACGTGCTTGCAGGCCAACTCCGCCGAAACGGAGCGCATCTACCGCCGCGAGCAGCAGCTGATGCTGTCGGCGTGGCACGACCTGTCGATGCGGACGATGCGGGAGCGGATCGCGGCGTCTGCGACGGGCGGCACGGGCGCGGGAGGACAGCAGAGACCGTACCAGCCGCAGAGCTGGTTGAGCCAGCAGCGAGCGCGGGTGAACGGCAAGGGACTTGTGCGCCACACGTCGGTTCTCTCCCTTGCGAAGGCTGACCTCGACCCTCTCCTCAGCGCCATACCTGAACCGGCTCGCGGGCGTTATCTTTATACCTCTTTCGTCTACGAATACCCTATTCCAGCACGCCCTCGCATCCGTTTACCCGCTCGCAGCCATTGCAACGCGATCTCGTCGTTTCCACGTCGTGTCTCCGCTTCGTTCGAGTTCGGGGTGGCTCGGCTGGCTTCAGAGTGTCAATTAGAGCCTGTAGAGTGCCCGTAGACTCGCCAGGAAGCTGTGGTTGGCGAGATCCGAAGTCGACACCGCCTCGCTCGCCAGCTTGGACTTGGGCACGACTCGCTCGACTCGCCTCGACACTCGTCCACGCCCTCACACACCGCCTAGCACCCGAAGAGTGAGTCCAGCAGCGTCCAACACACCCACACAGACCACCCAGCAAGTCCAGCGAACGCGCCACCTCGTCTCGTCCCCTCGCCGCCGCACAACTCCCACATCTCCACATCTGCGCCTCACACAGCTCGAGGAACCGCGTGCTGATCATGTGTGAATCGGGCAAACAGTGAAAATTGAGCCTTGCTATGTGTGCGGATCGCCTTGCTACCCGGGTCATGGTCAGTCGCGCTTGTTCCGCCGTTTCATCTCCACTTGGCCACAGCAACCGCGTATGGGCACCGTGAGATGCTCAGAGGGTGCTGGGCATAGACGGTCGATGTCGACGGTGTCGCTGACCTCACTTCGCTCTCACAGGCACCATGTTCGTCCGCAACGACGCAAAGTGCTTCCGGTTCTGCCGCTCAAAGTGCAGCAAGAACTTCAAGTGCGTGCCGTCCAGCCTGACCATCAGTGCTGCGTTACTGACAAGCCATCCCGCATGTTCCGCCTCACCCGTTGCTCCCGACTCTTCTTGTCCCCGCTCTCCAACTCGACATTCACCATCCACTTCTTCTCCACCCTCCGACTCTCTCGCCACGCGTTCCGCCCTCAGGATGAAGCGCAACCCGCGCAAGCTGAAGTGGACCAAGGCGTTCCGCAAGGCGGCGGGCAAGGAGATGACGGTCGACTCGACTCTCCAATTCGAGAAGCGCCGCCACGTCCCCGTCGTCTACGACCGCGACCTCGTCCAAGCCACTGTCGCAGGCATGAAGCGTATTGCCGAGATCAAGGCTCGTCGAGAGCGGGCGTTCTTCAAGGCCCGGATGGCGGCAGCCAAGGAGGGCCAGCTCACGAACGACTCGCTCGAGGTCACGCGGTCAGGACACCTCCTCACGCCCAGCATGCAGGAGCAGACGGACGAGACGAAGAAGGCCATGTCGGCGAGTCGGTTGTTGTTGCAGGCTCGGGCGGAGAAGAAGCGCGAGCGGCAGATGCGGAACCAGAAGAAGCGGGCTGTTGGGTTCGAGGGAGGCGCGGACCTCGCGGGAGAGGGAGACGAGGAGATGGACGAAGAGAGCGAGGAGGAGGAGGCAGAGTTGTCGATGGCCGATGCCTTGCGCGAGGCGGACATGAGCATGGACGTCGGCGAGGAGGAGGCGGCGCCCGCAGAGAAGATCAAGCAGAAGGTCAAGGTCAAGAAGCAGAGTGCGCTCAAGAAGACGTCCGGTGGAATGGGCATGTCGATGCGGTCATGAGTTGGCGTCGCTTCCCTCGCTCTTCCTCGCCTCTTCGCATTCTTTCGGCCGTCCTGTCGTTCGTTCCCTTGTGCCACCACCGTCACCTTCACGTTGTGCCTTCTTCCATTCCACACGGGTAGATCTCGCCTTCTCTTTGCTGTCTGTCCTGTAACCCTACGCTGCATTTCTTTCCCTCTCTCTCCCTGCGACCGGCTCGAAGTGAGAGTCAAGACGACGCTCAATGGCAAGTTCTACACTAAGTCGTGAATTGAGCGGGTGGGGAATCAGCAGGCGAAAGGGTAACCACAACAACAGAAGGCGAAGCGGAAGGAGGAAGGCGAGATACAGCGCAAGTTCCTGAGGCGGGAGACAGATGGACCAAGGATAGCTACAGTAAATGGTGAGGCGAGGGCGGACTAGGCGGTATCGTCGCGCGCAATTCTGGTGGAGCTCGAGCTCGCGACGGGCGAGGCGGCAGAGTGGTTGCGAGAGAGCGGGTGCGGGCGGACGCCGACGGGCGAAGTCGAAGTCGATGGCTCGGCTGATATGGTGTGCGACGAGGGGCGGCTCGCAGGCTGGATAAGTACGCTCGCGCCGTCGGTTGGCGAAAGAAGTGGAACGCCTTCGTCGCCTGCTTCGTTCGCAGCCCTCGCTTCACCCTCGGCAACCAGTGCCGCCGCGCCTGGTTCCTGCGGAGGCGCAAGGACGCTCATCCTACAGACCGGACAGACACCCTTTTGCTCCTCGAGCCACTCCGTCACTTCCTGCGCGTGGAAGAGGTGGCCGCAGGGAAGGGACATGACGAGGTCTCCCGATTCGAAGTCGCAGAGACAGAAGGGGCATTCGGTGATGGAGGGGTAGCGGCGGAACGGAGGAGGGCCGACGTTGAGCTGGTTTGGTGAGGCGGGCGGACGGAGGGAAGCAGGAAGACGGCGAGAGATGGACGCGGGGAGGCGGGACGCGAAGCGGTGTGCGAGGGAAGTGGCGCGAGTGACAGACGCGGTGTCGGAATGGAGGAGTGAAGTCTGCTCGGTCGGCTCGGGCGCAGCCGACACGGGCACATGCGCAATGCCGACTTCGCGCTCCTCGTCCGTTCCCGTTCGCGCCGCATCCGCGCCAGCCTTCGGTGCAGGCGATGAGGGCTTCTCGCTCTCGCCCCAGCGGAAGACGGGCAAGCGAGCGACGGCGTCCTTTGGCGCACGCTCCGCCTTTTGTGCGCGGGCGGCACGAACACGTTGAATGAAGACGGTGACGAGTGTGAGGAGGGATGGAAGGAAGAGGAGGATGAAGAGGAGGTCGAGGAGAGGCCTGCGTGCAGTGAAAGTCAGCGAAAGGCGAGAACGTGAGACGCATTAGGCGGACACACCAAGCGAGCATCTCCTCCTTGCTCAACACGACCTCGAGGCCGACGTACTCCTTCTTCGGCTTGTCAGTATCAGCATCGTCGCCCACGATGACATTCGTCTGCGTCGAACCTTCCTCCATCGTTGGCGGTTCAGCCTTGGCGATTTCTTGCTCGTCGTTCCAGATGCGGAGAAGGGAGACGTAGGAAGCGCGAGAAACGAAGACAGAGGGGATGGCAATGTCGTCGGTGTTGTCTAATCGCGGAGAAGATGAGTGGTGCGTTACGGAAACGAACAAAATTCGGACGCACCAGGACTCCAGGGCGTCAGCAAGCCGTGTCCGCCGCTGATACCGCCTTCCGCCTCGCTCTCGTCGCCGAAGACGACAGCCATCGCGCCGTAGTCTTGCGCAACTCGGACCTTGTCAGAGAAGGGGCACTGGCCGCGCTGAACGAGAGCGATCCAGGGCTTCGACGGAGTGAAAGGTGCAGGAGCGACGGGCTTGGCGGTGCAGCCGTAGTCGTCTGTCGGTGCTGCGATGTCGATCGGAAAGAGGAGGCCGCGCAAGGGTTCGTTGACGATGTGCGGGCCGAAAGAGGAGGGGCGGGAAGGGTGCAGAGAGTTCGAGCGCTGTGAAGAAGCGAGTCAGTCGAAAGCCTTTCTGCAAAGCGAGTCATTTAGCGCACCTCGACGTAGATGGAGCTCTCGCTCCAAGTCGAAAGACCGCCGCCCTCGAGCGAGAAAGCGTCCGCGCCTCCCTCGCCCTCGAAGTCGAACCATTCGTCCTCGTCAAACCCGAACAGGCCGAGAATGAGGTCGCCTACCGACGTCGCCAGGCCATCCAGCTTGACTCGGACCATGTGCCAGAACGCCCTGCGCGAGTCTGCCTTGTCGTGCGAGCCGGCAAAGTGAAGAGGCGGACGAGCGGGTGGCGAAGTGTGCTGAACGGCGAAGGCGAGCTCGTCGTTCGGCTCGTCCAACAGCAGGATCGACTGACGTCCCTTTCCACTCTCTGCTCCTGCCAGTCCAACCCTCAGCTGCCTCGTCGTCGACCTCCCCGCCTCATCCCGACTCGCGTCACTGTCGCCGTGTCTCCCGCTCGGCTGGACGTGGAAGGCCTCGTCCGCTGCGTCATGACGTGCAATGGCAGACTCGCTGAATTGCTCGTCGCCGGAGAGACCTGCGAACGCGACAAAGAGGACGATGCCAACTGCGACGAGAGCGGGGAGGTGGTGGGCGAAGCGGCGTCGCGGGGCGAGCGGTGGGCCGGCCAGCCCCGTCGAATGGTCCATCGTAGAGCTCTCTACGTCGTCAGCAAGCCAGTCTGAGCAAGTCGAGCGAGGTGTTGCCGCCAGACCAATCCTCGTCGCTGCTCTCGCTCCTGCATCTCGCTCGCACTCGCTAGAAAGGCTCGCTAGGCTGTTCGGGGACTGTCACTGTGCTTGGCATCCCAGCCTGAGACGATCATCGAACCCGCTTGCTCTCGCTCGTTGCCGTCGTCTCGTTCAACTCGTCGCTCGTCCTTCGATGATGACTGTGCGTCCCTTTCTAGCGGTGGACAGCGTGTTGTTCGTTTGAGCTGATTCTCGAAGCGATTCTACCTGGCCCATGATGCCCCGCCCGCTTGTGCGCCGACCTCTGTCACTCCGGGCATTCAACACCTCGTCGACAAGCAGGAACAGCCGACTTGTCGCGACCGGTCTTCTCATTCCTCGTCCAGTGCAGACCTCGCGCCTGCAAAGGCTGCTGAACCGCTCACTCCGCCTCTCCTGCCTTGTAGCGGCGGTGTCTCCCCTTGCTCTCACTCGCGAATACTTGGTGCTGTTTGCGCGGAGTCTCTGACTGTGACAGAACAAGTCACAACACTGAGCATCTCGCCTGATCTCGACGGAGGAGATGTCGTGGACGATGAGCCCGCCCGTTCCGCACACGAAAATCCAGAGCAGACACCCTCCCTCGCCCCAAAAGACGCCGTCCAGCACGCTCACGGCCTTCTCATCGACGACTACCAATTCTCCAGGCGCGGCACAAGCGGCGCCTCGTCCTTTCTCGAGGTCATACTGGAGGACGAACTTGGAGCCGGTGCTGGCGGAGACGTCTACACCGATCCTTCAGGGATGCTGGCAATCAAGGTGATTGTCCCACAGGGCGATGAGAGCTTCGAGCAGTACGAGGACCGCTGGGACGAGGGAGTGCGCGAGGTGGAGGCGCTCGAGCGGTTGAAGGGGTGTTTGGCGCCGGAACTGTACGGCGTCTTTGAGCGGACGGATGACGAGGGCTACAGGTGGGTGGTCATTGTCTCGGAGCGGATCCGCGGCAAGGCCTGTGGGGACAGCGAGTTCAAGAAGTGAGTCTTTCTTCTCTCCGTCCTTCCTCTGCTCGGTTCTCGACGTCTTCCTAACGTCCTTCCGTATCACAGGTATCGCCTCGACATCGCACACGCCCTCATCCGCCTTCACACCTGCGGCATCCTCCACGGCGACGTCCGACCGCAAACGTCCTGATCACCGACGACTTGGAGATCAAGTTTGTCGACTTCGGACGCGCACTCATCGACACGACCCTCGATCAGTATCAGTGGGAGATGTACCACTTCATGACTTGCACCGAGGCGTAGAGGCACCTGTGAGTGTCATTCGAGCAGTTCTCCGGCTGTCGAAACCGAGCGAGGAGACGCGAATCCAGGCGTGGACAGCGCTGTGCAGCTTCCGGGAAGTGCAGCGTGCAGGCGGGAGAGACCAGCGATGGACGTAGCAGGACGGCCTCCGCGCACTACCAGGAGAAGTGCAGCGCACCCGAGGGCCGGTCTCGTCGTGTTGACGGCTTTCTCGGCGGGTCAAGACGGGACGAAGGTAGAGACTACGTATTCTCATGAAGGCGAATCTACGGTTACTGAACCTTTTAGAGAAGAGTGACGACGCCGGCAACGGCGGCGAGGGCGCCAGCGAAGGGGACGACGACCGAGACGGCGCCCGACTTGGCCTGGACGTTCGAGCCCTGCGCGTTTCCGCCTTGGTTGCCACCCTGACTGTTTCCGCCCTGCCCAACCGAGCCAGTCGCCGAAGGACCAGCCGCCGACGAGGACGACGACGCCGAAGGCTTGATGACGAGCGAGCCGGACGAGTAGTCGTAGCCGGGGTCGGTGTGACCCGGGTTGGGCTCGCCGCGGGCGGTCCAGTTGATCGGCTGGTCCCACGAGGTAAGCGAGGTGTCGGTGCCGTTACCAGCGAAGACGGGTCCGCCGCCAGCGCCGATGGCAGACATGTTGGGCGCGAGGATGGGCGTCCACATCTGATCGTTGGCGAAGCCGGGGAAGATGCCGGTAAGGTTGGTGAGGGGGAGGTTCGACGACGAGTTGGTCAAGCCGTTGCTGCGAGGAGTGAAAGGCGTCAGAACGGAGATCTCGCTCGAAGGAGAGGAAAGGCGGAACGCACTTCTGGTAGCCCGTAGCGTTCGCAACCCACGAGTAGACGTTGGCGAGCGTCTTGTTCGTGTCGCCGCGGCCGAGCGAGCCAAGACCCCAGTTGGCCTCGACGGTCGAAAGCGAGGAGTAGTGGGTGTAGTAAGTGTTGTCGGTCGTACCGATGAGCTCCTTGGGGATGCCCTTGCCGAGCGCAATGGTGTAGATGTTGTTGTTCTCCTCGTACGCCTCGTTCTCGTCGTACGTGATCAAAATGAGCGTGCGGTTGTTGTTGAAGCGCTCGTCGGCGAGCAAGGGGTAGAGGAAGTATTCGAGCCACTGCGACTGGAAGTCGATCGTTGTGTCGTGGCCGTCGTTGACCTTTGAAAGTACAGGAGAACGCGAGCGAGCGAGAGCGAAAAGAGAGGGAGCGGGAATTTGGGAAGGTCAACAATTTGTCTGCCTCGTTCGCTTCTCTTCGTCTCCCAGCGTCGCTCCGGTCGCTCGACTCACGAGGTTCGGCGTAATGAACATCCACTGAGGAAGCGCGTCCGCGTTGAGATCGGCGGCAAAGTCGTTGAAGTTGCGGTGACCTGCGAGGCAGAGGCGCGAGTCAGCACGATTGCGGAGCAAAGTGAGAGAGGACTAGGTGCGAGATGCGATGTCGGAGGACGTTTGCGAGCCAAAGGCGGGGTGGGGAGCGAGGGGAGAGAAAGTTGGAGATGAAGACTCACGGAGGGCACGCTCAGGGTTGACGGCGACAGAGTCCGTGAGGATCAGTGGCGAGTGCTTGCGAACATAGTAGGTGTAGTTGCCGCTGCCGCTGATGTAGTTCGGCTGGGTGTAGTTGAACCCGGTGAAGCCGTCGTACGGCATGTTCTCCTGCGAGACGCCCAATCTCGATCAGCAAGAGCTTCCACGCCGGAGGAGCGAGGTGATACCCGCCTGGTACGACGCCCAAGAGATGTTCTTGGCCTCGAGGAGGTCGGCAACGGACGAGACGTTCTTCGGGAAGGCGTAGAAGGCGTCACCGTGCACTGTCGGCGGAGAAATGTGTCAGTCTTCGTTCGTACCGAGCTTGTAGGGCCCGTTTAGACTGCAGCATACTGCCAAAGAAGTCTCCCAATCCAAGGGCGGCATAATTTGGCTCCGACGGCTGCAGGAGGGAGACGAAGTCAGCGTTACGTCTGAGTACCCGGGCGGCAAAGCAGCGTACGTGGGTCACTCCGTAGTACCCGTTCATGAGAACGCCTTGCGACGAGAGGTTTTGGAATACGGGGGACGACGCGCTCGTGGCGAAATCAGTGTTCTCGAGGACCACCTGTATGAATCGATCGAAGGATTTGCCGGCGACGACGGGGGACTTGGGCAAAGTCGAGTTCGATTTGCCGGTGTACGTCGAGGACTGCTGAGTCGGGCTCGACGAGGGAGGGACGAACCTGCGGCGAGTGGGAATAGGGACGGAATGGGAGAGTGGCGGTCAGCAGCGACTTCGAGGAGGAGGAGGAGGAGGAAGAACGCACGACTGGGCGACGGCGGCATAGGCCGGAGCGGCGGCGAGGGCAGCGGTGATCACAGCCGTCGAGAGCATCTTGGCTGTCCTTCGGATGGAGCAGAAAGATGCGAAGAAGAAGAGCAAGAGAGAGGCGAAGGGTCGGGAGGCAAAGTCGTCGGCAAGCGGACCAGCGGCACGGACGGGGCGAGTTTAGCCCTGCGCTAGCCAATCAGCGTGTGTTGTTCTAGCGCGCTGCCGTGACCGTGCGCCATTTGAGCGCGTGCGAGTGTTCTCGACGAGGTCAACGTGCGGACTCCGCACTCCGCTTCGACGGCGTCCACTCGCTATTTCCGTCGACCGCGCTGCTCAGAGGGATGAACGTGCTCGCGCTGCGGCTGAAAGCTCCGAACAAGCGCCTTTGTCCCGGCCGAGGATGCGGAGCCGGCACACTCCCGCTCGCCCAGCTCGACGAGGAGCATCCGTTCACACGCTGCAACCGCCTGCACCGTCCGCTCGACTGTCGCATCTGCTAGCTGAGACGACGATGGCGGGCTCCATCGACGACAAGCACTCGCTCGAGGAGATCGAGACTGACTCTCCTCAACCGGATTCTCATCGCCGACGCTGGATCCGCACCCTCGCCGTGGCCATTGGTGGACTCGTCGTGCTCGCTGTGGCACTCGGTGTGGGTCTAGGAGTCGGACTGCGGCACCCTTCGCAGAATCGGGCTGTAGCGACGAGCGTGAACGGGACAAACTCGACTTCGGCGGATGGGGGACGGGTGCTGGCTCAGCCGTCGAGCAACTTTGTGCTCAAGGGGCAGGCGGCGATGGCAAAGGAGCCCCCGACAACGCGGCACTACGACTTTCTGCTGGAGGAGCGCACAGGGTCGCCTGACGGCTTCGATAAGCCTATGCTCGTCGTGAACGGTGAGTGCGCTTCTGATAAGCCTTCCAAGGACTCGCGCTGAATGTTTTCTCGCAGGCATGTACCCTGGGCCTACCATCGAGGTGAACAACGATGATCGCGTCGTCGTGAACGTGACGAACGCGATGTCGAACGCTTCCGCCGTTTGTTCCGTTCGCCACTCGTCCTCCAAAACTCCGCTCACACCCCCAACGCGCAGGTCCATTGGCACGGCCTCTTCCAGCGCGGCACGCCCTGGTTCGATGGGACGAACTCGGTTTCGCAATGCGGGATCCCTCCCGGCCACTCCTTCCTCTACAACTTCACGCTCGACACCTTCGTCGGCACGACCTGGTGGCACTCGCACTACAGCACGCAATACACGGACGGCCTCTCGGGCGCTTTCATCGTCTACAACCGTACCGAGTCGCTTCCTTCGACTCCTTCGGTCGACGGCGAACTCTCGATCCAGCTGTCCGACTTGTACCACCGGTTCTCGACCGACCTTCTCACGCAGTACCTCTCGACGAATGGGATGACAGGCGCGGGATACTCGGGAACGACGCAGGGGAACGAACCTGTCCCGGATGCGGGCACGATCAACGGTGTCGGACAATGGGGCAACTCGACGTCCAGCTACACCGACTTCACCCTCGAGCCGAACTCGACCTACCGCCTTCGAATCGGGAACCACGGCTCGTTCGCCGCCAGCCGTTTCTCGGTCGACAATCATACCTTGACGGTTGTAGAGGCGGACGGCGTCCTCGTCGAGCCGTACGAGGTCTCGGGCCTCGTCGTGCAGGTCGCGCAGCGGTATAGCGTGATCTTGCGCACGAACGAGACGGCGGGAGCGTATTGGATGCGGCACGAGGTCCAGCAGGACGCCTTCACGGTGCGCTCGCTTTCTCGCGTCCTTTTTCCGCTCTCTCACCGACACGCCTTCGTCTCGCAGTACACCGAGCCAGGCTTCCAGGGCAGCCAACTGGGCGTCATCCGCTACGGCGTCGACAACTCGACGATGCCTTCCTCCGCGCTCATCTCCTCCGACCCAGGGAGCGGCAGCTCTCTCCCCGACCTCGACTCCACCGCTCTCGTCCCTTACGTCCCCGAGTCGCCTCCGAACGCGACCTTCTCTACGTACATGACCGTCTCGATGCAGAACACCGGAAACAACCAATGGCTCAGCTTCGTCAACTCGACCTCATGGGCGCCTCTACAGGGCAAAGCGACGCTCCTCTCCGGCTACGGCTTCAACGCTGTCGGAACCTCACAAGCCGACTCACAGCTCATCGTCACCGTTCCCGATCCGTCAAGCGGGACTCAAGTCGTCGACGTGTACGTCCAGAACTACGACGACGGCGACCATCCTTTCCATCTGCACGGCTACAAGCCTTGGATGCTGGGACAAGGGCAAGGCCGGTATCAGGGCCAGGAGCTGGATACGAAGAACCCGATGCGGAGGGATACGTTCATCCTTCCCGCCTACTCTTGGACGATCCTCCGCTTCGTCGCCGACAACCCCGGCATGTGGTTCTTCCACTGTCATTTGACATGGTGCGTTGTTTTGCTTTGTGCTCGTCGACTTTGCTTACGTTCGAGTCCCGCAGGCACATGGCCTCTGGTCTCGCGATGCAGTTCCTCGTCCTCCCGAACGCGACGACTTCCCTCCTCGCTTCGGCTCCGTCGGTGCTGCAGGAGCAGTGCAAGATCATGCGCACTCTCGGGCAGACTGTTGTTGGGTAGATCTTGTTTCGTCGGGTTTGTATCGCTTTGTAAAGTCGTTTGCAAGATAGAAATCGTTTCGCATAACAAGTCGTACGGATGACGTGAAGGATACGAAGAGAAAGAACCACTCCACCGCTCACGAACTCGCACCAATCAACCCAGCCTTCTCCTGCTCCTCTCCCTCCTCTCCCGCTCCACTAGCCCTACTTTCCGCCTTCCTCAAACTCGGCATCCAAGCCGCCGTCCCAATCGACCAAGTCCTCTTGAGATCGACCTTGGGCGCCTCAGCGGAGACGCTGGAGATGCTGGCAGAGGAAGAGAGGGCGAGCGGTTTGGCGGAGAAGGAACCGGTGCTGGAGGAGGAGGTGCCGCGGCGGTGGGTTGGGAAGGCGGGACGAGATGGCGGAGCTGTGAACGTCGTCGTCGTGGGAAGGGAAGGACTGTCCTTGGGTGTAGAGAAGGTGCTTTCGCCGACGACGGTGGCTGCGACGGAAGGAGAGGCGACGATTGAAGCGGGAGCGCCGGGAAAGGGCAAGGGTGTACCTTCCGGCGCAGATAACGACGTTTGTGTGACGCTGGAAGCGCCGAGCAATGGCGTCTGAGGCGGAGCATAAGTTTGCGGGAGGAAGAGGTCCGCCTGCGAAACCGTTGAAGTCAGTTTGTCCCGCGCGTCGTGGACAGTTTAGCGACTCACCTCCTTCGTCATGGACGACCTCGAGTGATGGATCTGTTGAAGGAGACCGTCAGCAACGGCGCAACGAGAGAGGGGGACGTCGCGACTCACCGACGGGCTGTGAGCAGGCAAGTTCTTCGCAATGTCATGAACCTTGGCGTCCTCGTTCGGGGCCATACTGGATCCGCTGAACGTCGCATCGCTAACACTAGCAGGGTACTGGGGCGCGGGCGAGTACTCGCGCTGCTGTTGAACCGTCGGGGGGTCGTACGGGGCGAAGACACCGCTCATAGTGTGCGCTTCAGCTTTCATCTCTGTCGTACCACCCGTACGAGTAGGACGGTAGCCGGTCGTGCCAGGGGCGGGGTAGCGGCTGCCTGTGATGGCACTCATGGGCGCCCAGAAACCGGGAGGAGGTGCATCGCGAGCCTCGGCGCCTTCTTCGAGACGCTGCCACCTCGAACCACCAGGGTGAGCTGATGGGTTCTTTGAGCGGCAAGCGCGGATGCAGCGCCAGATTGTCGAGAGGAGAACGTAGAGGGCGAGGATGGAGGCGACGAGCGTGAGGACAAAGATGGCGACGGGCGGTTGTCTGCGATTCGTTCCTCGATATCGTATCAGTACTGTAGCACTCCAGAAAGACGAGAGGGAGGAGAAGAAAGGATACCACGCACTCGGCAACCCAATTCTTGATGTTCGAGCCCGCGACCCAAGCCGCTGGGTGGTCATCCTCGCCGCGAGGTCGCAAGATCATCTTAGCTGCAATACACGGGTCGGGAAGGAACGAAGGAGAGGAAGGGGGAGCGAGGAGAGAGGAGCAGGTCGGGCGACGGAGTATCCGCGGAGGCAGGCGAGCGGTACGAGCGTAGGCGAACGTGATGTCGCTGCGCTGAGTTACTTGCGCAAAACAGCTGGAGGAGCAGCAGAGCTTGTCGAGGAGATCGCAAGGAAGGTGCAGAGAGCGAGGAGCGCGAAAGGTCATCGCGTCAGGACCTTCCCAACCTGATTGGACAAGCAACCTCGTTGCCGGTTAACGAACGGTACTGCTGCTTTTCTGGAGTCCGATAGACAAAGCTTCGTCGTGTGTGGAAGCGATCTCAGGCGGAGGCGGAAGGAGCGGGGTCCGCGCTTTTGGCCGCCGTGTCGGCGAGCGAGGGGGACGTCGGGGGCGAGATGGAGATCTGCGGTGCGAGCGTCAACGATCTGAGAACGACTGAAGGCCGGACAGATGCACCTTGTGAGCGCCAACGTCCGCGGGCGAATGCGAGATCCAGTCGTCCGAGCGAGCGAGGGCGATTCCTGCGGGCGTATAGACGGTCAGCGGGCCGTTTCCTTCATTGTTGGCGGCATGAAGTACCCTCAACGATGTCCTGCGCGTGCGAGACAAAGGCAGAGTCAGCCTCGAAACAGGCGGGAAAGATGCAGAAAGCGAAAGGAAAAACGGACATCGTGGTCGCTGCCCCAGTTGGCCCTGCCAGATCCCTCCTTCTTGAGCGGCATGTCTGCAGCTCCTCGAGGTTGCTCAGCGCGAACGAGTGCCGAAAAGCCTTTCTAGCGGGCTTGAGACAGATCCCGAGACGCACAGTTCGAACGGAGGTTGTGCGGGACCTCCTTGTGGTGGTGCGAAGAGCGGGTCCTAGGTGTGGGTCCTACGGTCAGTATGGAGGTCTCCACGAAGCGTCGAAGCTGCCCACAACGTACATGGCGAGTTGAGAGGTCGCGTGAGGATGGATGTGGGGAATGAAGCGATGAAGTCCTGCTCGGGACGACGGCGTGGTGAGCGCTGTGCGTCGAGAAGAACAGTATGTACGTGGAGTCAAGCCTACTGTGCGAGCGGCGAGTCAATTCGAGCGGTGCGAGTGAAGTGTCGAGGAACAAGAGATGCGAGGAACTTTCGGCAGAGATCCTTCCACGCTGGCGAACGCTCTGAGCCTCTCTGGCTGGCAAATGCGAGGTCATAAGATGCCAGTTGCAATAGAGAGTTCGTACGAGGGGTATCTTGCCGCGAAACGATGGGTATCGTTGTCCTTCCGCCTGTCCTCCTTCCCTCGCCTCCAAGCGGTTCAGGTTCAGTCTTCTGGCTCGGTACCGTACCCAGAAGAGCGATCTAACGAATGCGAGTATGGCGCGGGCGTAGAGAGCCGCTGAAGGGAAGGCGAGGGAGGTGAACCTGGGGAAAGAGACGGAGAGCGAGCGGAGAACTCTTCAGTCAGCTCTTCGGTCGGGGAGAGTCGAGCTACGCACCTGTAGCCCTCTCGAGCACATCAAGGCCCCGCCTGCCCTGGCACTTCCATCCTACTCGTCCCATACGTCCCCTGCCCTCCTCCTCCTCTCGGCGCAGTCCCTGCTTCTCCGCCCTGTCCGACCGGTGGCGCCTGCGGCTCTTGTTTCCAGATATCGTCGAAGCGAGTGTCCTTGCTCTCGCAGCATGAGGCGCAGGAGTCGCACATCGGGCCGCAGGTCCAGTCGGGGCCTTTGCCTGCGCGCGACGAGTCGTGAGCGTGAGCGGGGCGGAGCGTGCGAGGGAGAATTGGAATGCTACGCACAGAACGGCAACCAGCTCCACCACTGTGCGCGTGCACGACAAGCCAATCAAGCATTCATGGGTCAGCGAGCGCGACTCAACAACGAGCGCCAGGAGCCGCACGACGACGCACGATGGCAGTGCAGCACTCTTCACACATGTTATGAGCCCTGGCAACCGAGTCTGAGCGTTGTGAGCGAGCGTGTGAAGTGTCGAGGTCAAAGAGCGGCTGCCGACGGGTGAGCCGAGGCGAGATGAATGGCGGCGAGGACCACGACCAGCTTGTATGGCTTGCAGGCAGCGCAGAAGACTCTGACACATACACAAGAGCGCGAGAGAATGACCCGGAGCAAGCGGAAGAAGATGCGACTGAACTTGAACGATTGCACTCCTCCAACCAACTCCAACTCCTTACAAACGGCGACCAATACTCCCCATATCCTCCTCCCGATCCATCCATAGGTACCTCATCCTCACCGCCTGTCCTCCAGCGGACGCGCGCGGTCCCTGCTCCGACGAGACGCACGTAGGAGCCAGGTGAACGCGTCCTTGACCTGGTTTGGGTTCTGAGCCGTGATGGCGCTGCGAACGAGCCGCGGTGTCAGCCAGAGAGATGCATAAGGAGAGAAGGAAGTGTACGCACCCGTTGAACTTGGCGAGAAACTCTGCCTTGTCGGCCGGGCCCACTGCTCGTGCGGGCAAGAGCTCGACCGCCACGGGTATCGTCTGCGCCAAGACCGTGGGGAACTGGATCGACAGCAGTCGCAAGATCGTGAGGACGTTGTAAGGCTCGTCTTCTCCTCCTCCGACAAGGACGTCGAGCAAGAGCTGCATGAGTTGCGTCGCGGTCGACTCGATAATGGCGCGGATCGCGGTGGCGTAAGTAGGGAAGGCAGCTTGCTGAGAGGGAGAGGCGAATGAGCCGTTCGATTCGGGGTGGAGAGAGTCGTGGCCGACGACTGCGCGGACGGCGTCGAGCGCGGCGAGGACAATGCGGGGCGACGGGAGGGTGAGCGCGGTGAGGGTGCACTGGAAGGCGGCGGGGAAGGCGGGAGAGGTGAAGATGTTTTGCGGCGCAGACTCGATCAGCGTTTGGACGAGGTGGACGTAGTCGTCGAGGACTGCCGCGCAGGAGAATCATCGTCAGTCTCGCTGCAGATTCAAGTGCTCGTCGACACTTACCGTCGGGAATCTGCGAAGGCGGCGTCGACTGCAACAGCTCAAACACCTTGTTGCTCTCCCTCTCGAACGCCGACTTGACCACCGCATCAAACGCCGGGTCCAGCTTGGGCGCAAACTGCTGCACGACCTTGCCGGTGATCCACAAGTACCCCGAAGCAGGCGTTTGCTCGAATGCCGACGAGAGGCGGTCGAGGATGGCAGGCGCGACGGCGAACGCCATGTCGTCGAAGAAGGCGAGTCCGCGGCGGACCGCAATCGTCGCGCGGTCTGCGACCGCAGGGTTCGAGCCGTACTTGGCGATGAGGGCGTCCATGACCGACCAGACTTGCTGGCACGTCGCGATGCACGAGTCGGGCAGGCCGTCCGGGACTTGACCGATGATGGCGAGGTAGACGTCGATACGCTCGAGCGCTTCGACAGCCTTGCGAATCTGGTCTTTCGCCGCGGGTGCGTCTTGCGAGACGAGCGCGTGGACGATCTCGACGTTGGGCATGAGAAAGGTCGAGAGCGCGGAGGGGATCTGGGAGGGCGGCATGGCGATGAGGATGTGGGCGATGGCGGCGGAGAGGTCGAGCAGGTCCTCGCCCTTCAGCTTGGACGAGACAGTCTGGATGAAGGTGTGGAGCTGAGGAAGGAAGGCGACGAGGTGTTCAGGGCAGTCCTTGCAGAGGTACTTCATCGTCTGCGAGGCGGCGGCGAGGACTTCCGGGTCGGTGTCGTCGAAGCCGGCCGAGACGTACGGCAGCTGGAACTGGATCAGGTCCGGGTGTTGCTGCGTCCAGTGGGTATACCGGCCGATGACGAGGATGGCGGCGTAGCGGATGCGAGGGTGTTGAGGGAGCTTCGGCAGAAGCTCCATGATCTTCGGGACGAGCTCGTTGTCGTGCACGTCAATCATCGCGCCCATCGAGCGCATCGAGAACAGAGGCGCCTCGACGTCCTGCCACCGCACCGCGTCACCAGCCGCAACAGCCTGCGCGATAACGTCGTATGCTTGCTGGAGACACGGCCCAGCGCCGAGGACCTTGCAGCAGTCCTTGAGCGTGTCGCCAATCTTGTGTCGGAAGTCGCGGAATGTGTCGCGCTCCTCGCCGGTCAGAGGTGTCGAGTCGTCGGGGAAGTGGAGATGGCGGATGACGATGCCGACGAGGTCTGCGAACACCTGGAGGAGCGGCGCCATGGACGGGTTCGGGCCGGCTCGGTGGACACCTTGCGAGAGGCGGTACCAGAAGTTGAGGGTGATGCCGACGACATCGAGCCCCTCGTACGCCGCGCACTGCTTGATGAGCTCAACGAGGGGAAGGAAGGTGTCCGGGTGCTGGACGATGAGCGGCTCGTACCACTCTCCCGCCTCGACGAATATCCGGCAGTACCCTCGCATCTTGTCCTCGTCTTCCCGCGTGTCCTCATTCGCCAAGTTCGCACCGAGAGCCGTCAGCCGGGGCATGATCTCCTGGATGATGGCGATGTTCTCCTGCAGTTCCTGCGTTTCGTGGATGATGTCGACGAGTACGTCGACGGCGTTGTCGAAGAGCTGGTCGTTCGAGAGGGAGGAGAAGGCGGAGGCGAGGATGGGGGTGCCAGCGAGCGAGCCAGCGCGGATCTGGCCTGTTCGCAGCCATGCGCCGAGAGTCGCGAAGCACTGGTTATGCAGTCCAGCGGTGATGCCTGGGCGAGCCGACGTGAGCTTGACATCCACTTCGCGAATCGACGGGCAGAACTCACCTGGCGCCTGGACATACATCGACAGCAGCCCGATGACCTGCTCCCCCCGCTTCACCGTCGCGTCTCCTTCCCGCCCAAAGTCGTTGTTGACGTTGATCTTGTAGTTACTGTTGTACTCCTCGGCCAGCACCTGGAAGAACTCGAGCAACGCAGCCGCCATCGCCGGCTCTTTGCCGAACATGTCGATCATCGACGCGACCGGGTCGTCCCATTGCGCCTTTGTCAGCTGAAGAGCGATGTCGGCGAGGGCGATGCAGATCTGGGTGAGGACGACACGGGGACCGGAGGCGAAGGAACGGAGGGCAGCGAGGAGGGAGTCGCGGAGAGGAATGAGCTGTTCTTGAGGGAGGGTTGCCAGGTCGTACGTGATCTGCAGAGAGTACTCGTGAGCTCGCCGCCTCTCCAGATGCGCTAAACCACCCACCTTTGTCCGGAAGGTCTGCGCCGCGAAGAGTTTCGGCTCGAGCGGGGCGTCTGGCGCAAACAGGATCATTTGCGCAGTCGCCCATGCTTCATTCTGCGCGATTAGGAATGCCGTCAATTCAGTACGTTCGCTCGAGCTTATCAAGGGTGTTGAGCGACTTCGTCTCCTCGTCAGGAGGGGGAGACACCCAAGTCGGCCGAGAGAGCACCATTGAAGCAGAGCGCTCAAGTACAGCACTTGAGAGCCTGATGTCCGCCTCTTCTAGCGCCCTAGGCCGCCCAGCAAGCCAAATCGTTCCCTTCTTCCCCTCATCAGTCTTGACGGAAGGACCGTCCATCCACTTCCCTACGACCATTCAGGAGGCCGCCAAGACGCCAGGCGAAAGGACCTTGCTACGCACACTCTTCTGGAACTCGCCCAGCCACGCATTCGCCTTCTCCTTCGCCTCCCGGTCCGGGTTCGTGTAGAGGACGTTGAGCGCCTCGACGACGGCTTGGAGCGATGCGTCGGCCATGGCGGTGCGATGGGCAGTGCAAAGCGCTCGAGTTGGGCTGTCTGAACAAGCGGCGCTCGACTTTGAGCGGATGGAGCAGGCGAGCGCGAGCGGACGAGGAGAAGAGGCGGAAGGTGGAGAGGGGAAAGGTGGCTCTCGCTTCGTGAGGGACATTGAGGTTGCTGGGCTAGTCAGGATAGCACAGTGCTACTCACAGAAGACGGGGCAAAGGCGAAGGAGGCGTGATGCAGCTACGGTCCTGGTTCGTCCTCCTTCGCTTCGCATTCCTCTCCTTCCGCCCACAGCGTCCAGATCCACCCGTCAGACTTGTTTCCCCAGCGCCGAGGGACATTCGCTGCTCAGGTCCGACCACCGTCCACTCAGCACGCCCTCTGCGCGCAGTAACTCCCCCAGCTGCTCCGTTCGATCGTCACGCCTCCTTCGTCCCGCCCAGCTCCTCCTCACGCCTCTTGCATGCGTCCCGGAGAGCTTGCAGGTACCGCTCGTAGGACTTGTGCTTCCTGCGCTCATGCTTCGCCAGCGAGTCGCGGTCGATCCGTCTGACGATGGCGGCCAGGTCGGAGAGCAGATCAGCTGGAGTGTTCCTACGAAGCGAGAGTGTCGTGAGTAAATGTCTCTTCTTACTGAGTCATACATGAGCGTACTGCAGGATTGGGCAGGAGGCCGTGTGCACGGCGAGCTCGTGAGAGCGCAGGCTTGCGTCGCAGCCCAACTTGGAGTGTCGACACGGGAAGGCGTTTAAGGGACACTGCAAGTGGAGATGGTCAGCGCGATCTTTAATGCGTTCTACCGAGAGAGGCGGGAACCGCACCTTCTTGACGTGCTTGAAGAGGTCGTCGTATGTACCCGTCCACGAGCAGCCATAGTCGCTCACGCCACATTTCACACTGCCCTCCAACAGAGTGTGAGCCACCACCGACACAAGCGAAGAAGAACCGCTGTAGCTGCTCAGCTTAGTGACTGGATAATCCTCTCAGCCAGCACTGACTCGCTTGCCTCCTTCGTCCGTCCGCGACAAGTAGGACAACGCGGACGCTTCTTCGACTGGTTGCCGTCGTTGCGATGCGACTTGACGAGGTCTTCATAACATGAGTCGCAGAGGATGTGAGACTCGTCGCAGACTTCGACGGGGGAGGAGGCAATGTCGGTGCAGACTGTGCCAAAGCTGGTTAGCGCGGGCTCAAAAAGCGGCAAGGAAGAGTCGCAAATGCACTGGGACAGATGAGTGCGGCAGGCGGAGGATGGACAAAGCAGTAGACGTCGATCCCCATGCTGCAAGTTGAACGGCGTGGAGTCGAGGGAGCAACGGGAAGTCGGCAGAAAGCGAAGAGTGGAGAGAGGAGAAGGTAGCCGTCGCGGCGGAAGAAGCTTTGGCCAGTGAAAGACAAGGGGAGAACAAGGGAAGCAGAGGGCCTGACCGCGTCAAATTTCGCCAGCGTTGCGTCTCAGCGATGAGAACACGGCGTGATATTGTGGACCATTGCTGGTGTTGCAGTCGTCGTCTAGATATCCTTGAGCTCCCAACCTGTCGAGTAGAGCAGGGTCAGCGGATTCAGTCTTCGAGACCTACGAGGTAGAACGAGCGAGACAGACTTCGTCGGTCCCGCAACGCAGTAGTGACGGCAAGAGCAAGACTCACTAACTCCACACCCACACCCAGCATCCTTGCTCTGCGGATTGTTGCGAATCTTGAATGCGCTACCGATTAGCTCGGTCGAGTAGTCGATCGTCGAGCCTTTGACGAGCGGGAGGGAGGCAGAGTCGACGATGAGGGCGGCATGGGTGTCTGTTGGTGGGCGGAAGAGGCTGCGACGCGAGGGACAGCGCAAAAACGGGTTAGCCTCAAAAGATATCGAGTGAAGGAGTGGAGCCGGACGCACTAGTCGTCGTCTTCCCGCTTGCTCGTCACCTGCATCTTGTATTGGTAGCCGTGGCAGCCGCCGCTCTCGACCGCTAGCCGGAGCGCGAGCTTGTCGTCCTTCGCCGCCTGTTGCGCCCGCTCGATTTGCTGCAGGTAGCGGAAGCGAGGTTAGCGGCAAATACCACCCGGCAGATCGCTCGTAGCACATCATGCGTGCTCGAACGACCAAAGAAGCCGCTCCGCCCGCAACGCACCTTGATTGCCGCGTCCGTCAAGTGCATCTCGAGCGTCTCGCCCTCCGCCAGCTCCTCCTCGACCGGTTCAAAGTCTTCAGGCGGATTCGCGGGCGGCTCGGCGGGACATGCGATTCCTCGTCGCTGGAGTGGCTGAGGCGAGAGAACGGCGACGGGAGAGCGGCGAGTTGCGGTCGGGCGATGCGCGGCGGTGTGCAGGGGTGTGTAGGGGAGTGTCGCAGCTGTTCGTAGTCCTCTGGACGGCTGCAGCGCGTGCGATGACGGTGCCGAGGTTGATGAGGAAGCGGTGTGGAGCGACGAGGTCGATGGGAGAGCCGCGCGCGTCGCTGGCAAGGTCCTCGAGAGTAGCCGTGTCCTGCAGAGCGCACACACCCGCTGCATCGCTGCGTCTGAGAGGAAGCGACGTTGTCGTTGTTGGTCAAGGGGAGGAGGCGAGAGTTGGCCGCTTCCACCCGCTCACACTCGCTTCCTTTGGGCTCAAACAAGTCGGAAAGTGTTTTAACACGCTCTTGGTAGCCCTAGAACCCCGCCAGCCTTCTTCCGCCGCCTCGAGACCGCCTCTACACGCGACGCGACCCTCCCCACCAACATCTCTTCCCTTTCACGACGCTCGGGCTGAACCAACTCGCGTAGCATCCCACTCGACTCGCCATGTCCGTCCACCCAAGCCGGCGTCGCGGCCCTCTACCGGCCGACATCGAGTTCGCCTGCCTCGACGGCGCGTCGAGCGGATGGAGCGAGATTGAGCAGCGGCGAGGAGGGAAGGGTAAGGGCAGAGAAGGAGAGGTAGAGATCGTACCGAGCGTGCGGATGCCGGTTATTCAGGGACTGGACGGCGTGAGTTGGCGTTCGTTTCCCTCGTTCGCGCTGGACACCTTGCTTCTCTCGGAGGGACGCTGCGCTTGTCCTGCTGCAGCGTCTCGTCGTAAAACGGAGCGACGTCTCCTGTGCTAACCCGCCGAGCCGCGTTCCACAGGATCACCTCACGTACGGCCCGTTCAACCCTCCTCAAAAAGCCTCGGTCCCGCTCTGGCTCGCCGTGCACCTCAAGAAGAAGCGGAAATGCAGGATCGTCGCCCCGCAGTGGCTGAGCGTCGGTGAGTCCGGCTCGAGGAGGGGTTACACCGCTTATCGTCTAGCCATTCGAGGCAGTCGAGAGCGGTCGTAGTCGCTGGTTTGAGCTGACGTTGCGGTACTTGCAGCGCACCTCGAGCAAACGCTAAAGAATGAGCAGACGCTGCCTGAGTTCTCCGACCTGCCGCGCGACTACCTCGAAGTCTCGAAGGTCCTGCTCGAAGTGTTCGTCCCCCTCTGGCTGCCTTTCACGACGGCCCTCGTGACCTTCCTCTCTTCGCCCACAGTGCATCAGACGACGTACCAGCATCAGATCGCGTGCGCCTACTGCTGAAGGATATACGAGAAGCGCGGCAGGCGAAAGTGCGGGAAGGACTCGGCGCCATCAACGCTGTCCACCTCGGCGTGCGTCTGGCGCTCCTCCTTTCGCCGACTCATATCCTTCTCGCTGTGCTGACTGCTTTCCTACCGCCCACAGATGCCCAACCTCTCCGCCCTCGAAATCACCGAACTCCGCCCGTTTTTTTCCCTCTCCTTCATGCGACTACGCGACCTCGACCTACTCGCCGAGCAACACCGCGAAACCGAAGAATGGTGGATGCGTGACCCGGCGGGCTGTATGGAGGCTGCGCGGCAAGGGATGTTTGGGAGGCAGGGGAGGGAAGGGACGGAGGTTGACGCGTTTGGCGGGTACGGCGGGTTCTAGGCGCGTCAAGGGTGGGTGCTGGATTGCAACGAGGAGTAGAGGGGGCATACGCTGTCGCTCAACGATGCAGCGGACCTTCGCAAGTCGCGGTTTTGCGTTCGAGTGCGTTGTGGAGCGGCCTCGCTTCGCATCGACCGGGTGCGGCTGGACTGCCTGCTCCAAGAGAGGGTGATGTACCCTGTAACACGCTCAGTAAGCTGTCTGCAAGCGAGTTCGTCCAAGTTGGCCTTCTCAGTGTTGTCGCCGCTTTCGTCCCGCCAACTTGCTCGTCTCGCTCTTGACGCGGCTTGCGCGGACGTGACAGCGCTCACTGAGCTTGCACAGCGTCTACAGCGCCCATCACAGCACAACTAGCGCAGCGCGAGGCTTTGTCGACGCCGACTCGCTTCATCACTTCCCTCTCGACTTGACAACCTTCTCAAGTGAGCGCGGGCGGAGCAGCGCGTCGCACACATGGCCGACAGCAGCCAGCAGCAGTACGGCCAGCAGCAGCAACGGGGCCCGGACGCGGCGGACGGGCGTGCGGCGAGTGCGGGACACCCTCATCAACAGGGCGGCCAAGCGGGGCAGCCACAGCGTGCGCAGGGCGGGACGAGTGCCGGAGGGGGCTACATGGCGCAGAATAGCTCGGGACAGCTGCCTGTTCCGCCACAGAACATGTCCGGGAACCGCTCCCCCGCCCTCGCCAACTTCTCGCAACCGTCGCGCTACCCGTCCATCCCGTCCATGCAAGGACACCCGCCGACGTACCAGCCGTACCACATGGGTCCCTCGATGGGTCCGTACGGCCTCCCGCACGCGTCCACCGCGAACCAGCACCCCTACCACCACGCCTTCCCGTCTCACCCGCAACCGGTCGCCTACACCCCCTACACGCCGTACATGCACACGCCCCAGCACCAACTGCCACACGGTCACCCCTACGCGTCGCCGATGTCGTTCAACCACCTCGGTACGCCGCTCGACCCGAACGCCATCCTCCCTCTCCCCAGCGGACCTTCACCTCGTCCGGCAGCTAGCGATGCGCTGGCGCTCCCTACGCCTCCAGCGGCCTTCCATACTGTACGCAACCCCCCTGCACCAGCTTTGCCAGTTCCTCCACCCGTCCAGAACGAGGTTCCCTTCCGCCTGCCGACTCCGCCCCCTCTACTCGAGGCCAAGACTGGCGCAGAAAACGCCAACGCCGCTGCCGGTCCTTCTACGAGCACTGCGGCGAGCACGGCTGCAGCAGCAAACTCTACGCCCGCTATCCCTCCCGCCGCGCCGACCCCGAAGCCGGCTGACAGGCCTCCGCCTCGTCGCGCCTCGATCGCAGCGGCCGCCAACCTGCCCGCTCGCGATTCATCAACTTCACCTCAGCCTCTCCGTGCCAGGTTGCGCGCACCCGCTCAGCCTGCACCCGCACCCGTCATCGCGCCCGCGCCTGTCCCGGCTCACAAGCCGCGCAGGAGGAAAGGTCAGCCTGGGAGGAGGCCGAAGAACGGGAACAGCGGAGATGGAGGAGCGGCGAAGAGGAGGGCTAGTCGTGGTGGATGGGGAACGGGAGGTGGGAACAGGCCTGAGACGTTCTTGCGCAAGTTGTGGAAGTGCGTCCCCGCCCTCGTCCTCGTGCTTTCGACTGACCGCTGACGATTCCGCCGCTCCTCCAGGCTGTTGAAGGGTGACCCCGAAGACGTCTCGGAGTACCTCCGCTGGGACAAGAGCGGCCGCCTCATCATCATCCCCGACGAGAAGGTGCTCGTCGAAAAGGTCTGCAAGGTCCACTTTGCCCAGAAGAACATCACCAGCTTCGTGGGTCTCCCCCTGTTTGTTGCATGTCGTCCTGGGCTGACGGGCGTCTCCGTCGTCTCGCAGAACAAGCAAATGAATGTGCGTGATGGCCTTCTGAGTCTCGAGCTCGCCTTCTCCAGCTCGCTCTCTTTGTTCACGGCTGACGTTCTCCTGCACGGTCGCTCCGCGCAGAACTGGGACTTCAAGCGCCACTCTCGCTCTCAGCGCGACATCGCTGCCATCGCCAAAGCCGAGCCAGGCGTGACCCGCCAGACGCGCATCTGGTACCACACGACTCTTCGCTCCGACTCATCATGGGACGACGTCAACGCCGTCGGACGTCACGAGGACGGGTTGGCGAAGAAGCGGAGGGTGAAGAGTAAGACGACGGGTATTGTCGAGGAAGGGCCGGGGATCGGCAGGACCAAGAGGAAGAAGGGGACGCCGCCTTCATTCGGGAAGCGCTCGGACGACGAGGGAGATGACGAGAAGCCGTCGAGGTCGCAGTCGCCCGAAGCGGTTGATGGGCCGTCGTCGAGCGTTGGGAAGCGTGCGGCGGCGCTCAGGAAGACGATGCCGGCTAAGAAGCGCAGGAAGACGTACGACTCGAGCGACGAGTCGGACGACTTTAGCGACTCGTCCGAGGAGGAGGAGGGAAGCGAGGACGAATCTGGCTCGGACGAGGAGGACGCCGAGGGATCCGACTCGGGCGCCGACTTGAGCGGATCGGAGGAGGGGGGCCAAAAGGCGGACATCAAGAGCAAGGACAAGGCGAAGGCTCAGCCGGACGAGGAGGAAGAGGAGGAGGACGAAGATGCGGAAGGCGAGCCGGACGAGGAGATCCTAGAGCAGCAAAAGGCCGTGGCGGCGACAGCGGCAAAGGGCAAGGGCAAGGCGAAGTCGGCTACGCCCAAGAAGGACACGCCGGTCAAGGGCAAGGCGCGCGCCGCGTCGAGCGCTCCGTCGGGCTCGAAGCCGCCGCCGACCAGGCGCGCTCGCACCGACAACCCGTCGACCGCGCCTGCTCCGACCACCAAGCGCGCTGCTGCTGCCGCGGCGAAGGCTGCTGCCGCCAAGGCCGAGGAGGAGGAAAAGGAGAAGGCTCGCGAGGCGGAGGAGCACGAGCGCAAGCAGGCGGACGAGGCGGCGCAGGCGCTCGCCGCGGCTGAGCCTGAAAAGGTTGTCCAGCCCGCGAAGCCTGCCGGTGGTCGTCGCTCGACGAGGCGCAGCTTGGCGGCGGCGGCCGAGGCGAACGAGGAGGAGAAGGACGAGGTTGAGGAGGGGTCGGTTGAGTACAAGCAGGAAGGCGACGAGAAAGCCGCTGAGGCGGCGCAGGCGGGCGAGAAGCAAGATGAGGAGATGCGCGCCGACCCGGAGGAGGAGGCGCAGGATGCACCGGCGGCTGAGCCGATGCAGGTCGATGAGCAGGCTGGCGCCGCGGATGCAGGTGGCGACGCAGACGCCGATGGCGAGTCTGACGAGGACGCCGAAGCACTGAAGAGCATCGCGACCGCCGGCACGCGCAGGACTCGTAGCAGTCGCGGAGCCGCTCAAGCTTCTCCCGCCGCAACTCCCGCCGCCGCGGCCGCCGCCGCCAAGAAGCCCTCCGCCGCTCAGAAGTTCTCGCGACCCGTTCGCGACCGCACCTCGACTGGCCGCACGACTCGCCAGCAACAGCCGGCCGAGCCTGAGCCTGCTGTCGAGGGCGAACCTGCGCCGGCCAAGAACACGCGTGCTGGTCGTCGCAGCTTGGCGAAGGAGCCGGATGTCGCGAAGGAGGAGACAGCCGCTGCTTCGACTGCTCAGACTGCTGCCGGCCGCGGCAAGAAGGGCAAGGGGCCGGCCGCGAACGCGCGCAAATCAGCTGCCGCAACCGACGCTGCTCCTACCGCGTCGACTTCGACCTCCGGCACGACCGGCCGCAAGCTCAAGGGTCGCGGCGGAGGATGGTACACGACCCCGCAGGACGAAATGCAGAGCCACGACATGCGTCGCGGCGGTGCAGGTTACCGCGCCGGATCCGCCTCGATGGACGGCGGCAGTGTCGACGGTAGCAGCGCGTCGGGCAGCTCGAACGGTGACCCGCCTATGCTGCTCTCGCTCAACCCGCAGACGGGCGGCCGCCCGCTCGACGGTTACTCGCTGCCGCGCCCGCCTCATCTCGTCGCTGGAGCGCGCGACTCTTCCACGCCCGCAACAGGCGACGCTTCCGGCTTCTCGCCTACGCCTTCCGCCTCGGCCGGCATGGCTCGGAGCCCGTCTGCCGCTTCGATGCAAGTCTACTACCCCGACTCGTCGAACCCGTACGGCTCGTCACCCTACCCTTCGTACCCTCACCAGCAACAAGCGCCCGTCGCGACCCACCGCCACCCGATCCGCCGCCACGTCGCGCCGTACTTTTCCGAGCCGGGTCGCGCGCGTCCGGCGTACCACTACCACGGTGCTGAGCCTATCGCGCGGCCCTACGTCAACCCGGCTCACCAAGTGACGGATGAGATGCTCGAGGATGGCGACGAGGCGGACGTGTATGGCGCCGAGTTTGCCGCCTCAGTTGCTGGTCCATCGACTGGGTACGCCGCACCGCCTGCGATGGACGGCTACGGCGACGAGCAAGGATTCGGATACTACCAGCACGCGGCTGCCGCTCCTCAGGCAAGGTCGCGCGACCCTTCAGCCGGCGCGAGCGACGCGGCTTCGATGTTTTCGCTCCTGCCGGGAGGATACAAGCGCCCTGATGCCGCAGTGAGCGACTTGCGCGGTTCGCCGAAGGGCGACAAGGAGGACGCGGACATGCAGGACGATGGTCGTGAGGGGAGCTGGCCGAGGACCATGACGAGGGGAGCGAGCGAGTTGTTCCGTGAGTGCGGTCTCCAGATCTTCGCAGGAGAGTCTAAGCTGACTCGTGCGCGACTTTGTAGCCGACCTCCAGCAACAGCAGCGCGATGACCGCTACGCCAGCGACTTCTGAGCGCCTTCGCCCTCGCCCGCTTGACGTCCCCTCTCACCTCCCCTCCCTCTTTCGACTTTCACCAGCATAGCCCTGTTCTTCGCTTGTCATTCGGCCCACTCTCAGGCTCTTTCCGTCGCCAGCTCGTCTTGTCGTCCTGCGTAATACCGTCTTTCTGGCCACCCTGTTCTCTCCCTCGGCCACTTTTCTCTGGGCATCTCTGTGCAGTACACATGCTTGCATTACACTCGATTCCAAGACTACGCCAGTTGTGGGTGGTCGTCGCGAGCGGAACTTGCTCGAACTCGGACTTTGCTCGCTCGCTCGGAGTTCTCGTCAGCTACGTCTCGTCTCCTTCTCACGCTCGAGCTGCACGATGGGCCTCGCAGACATCTTCTCAAGCAGCGCAAACAACCCGCCACCCGTCCCGCCCAAGAACGCGGTCCGTCCGCGCTCTCTGTCCTCTCCCGCTCCTCCCCACACTACTCACACGAACGGATCCCTCCCTTCGCCCCCTCTGACACCGCGGGATGACGAGCAGATGGGCGTGAATAGGGACAAGGAGAAGGACGAGATCATACGGCGGTTGACCGAGGAGCTCATGCGGACACGAGAGGTGAGTCTTCACTCCTCTTCGGTTTGATGAGCGGGTGTGGCGGTGGTTGAGGGCGAGGACGACGAGCTGGCTGGAGGGACCGCTTGCAAAAGGTGGCACTTGGCTGCCTGCTCGCCCTCGAGACGAGCCGGACCTCGCTCGGTCAGCTTGCTCTCCCGTACCTTCGCCGTACTCGCTTCTTCGTCGATTCCTCAGCGCTCGCTTCTTTCCTTCGCCGCTTCAAGCTCACTGACATGCTCTTCGCCTCGCTCCGCCGTCAGCGCAACCAACAGCTCGAGAAGGACCTGCCTGCCCTCGCCGCCTCCAAAGCCGCTGTCGAGCGAGCGCGCGAACTCGAAGACGTCGTCCGCCTCAAAGACATCATGGTCGAGTCTCTCGAGCGACAGGTCAGCTTGCTCGAGAAGTACAACGCGGCGCTGCAGCAGAAGGAGGCGGAACTTGTTGCGCTGAGAGCGGAACAAGTCGAGCAGCCGATTTCCCAGCCCGACTTGTTGCATCGCTACGAGCAGCTGTGCGACATTTTCGGCCAGTTGAGGGACACCTTGACCTGTCCAGTCTGCTACGAGCCGTTCGACAAAGACCAAGCCGTGTCCCTCCTCTGCGGACACTCGTTCTGCGGGGCATGCTATGCGGAGTGGGAACGCAAGCACATTGAGGCGTTCAAGATGTCGTCGATTCAGGGGCAGTATACGGGTCCCGAGTGTCCCGAGTGTCGGACTGCGGATGTGAGGAGGGGGAGGGTACGGATCTGGTCTCTCGAGGAGGTCGGTGCGTCTGCGCGTTCCCTCGCTCCCCTTCTCTCCCTCTCTCCTGACACTGTCGTGCTCGCAGTCCGCCTCGTCGACCGCGCCAACCGCGAAATCGCCGACAATCCTCACACGCCCGCCGTCCCTCCCATCGAGCCTCTCACAGCCGCCGACCTCCTCCTCGCCGACGAGTCAGCCACGGAAGCTGGTGATGCGCCGTTCACGTCTGTCGGCGAGGATGCGAGGAAGGTGGACAATTCGATCTCGTTTGGGGCGGAGACGGCGGAAGGTGCGGGAGAGAAAGAGCAGGCACAGACGCAGACGGAGGCGGACCAGCCAGCGATGGACGTCGACCTCCCCTCTCCCCCTCCATCCGATGCACCCGACTCGCCCACGCCCTCGACGCCCGCTCAACCCGCCTCCTCCTCCAACTCTGCTCGCACTCCCTCTCCCCCTCCCGCTCCTCCCACCACCTCAACATTCCCCTCCCGCCTCTCTTCATCAGACCATCACCACCTCCTCTCTTACTTGCGCGCGCAAGCCCTCGCCCGAGCCCAACAAAGGGCGTCCCAAGCCCATCTCGAAGCCGAATCCGCGCGTCTAAGAGCGGAGGAGGAAGAACGCGAGGCGAGGGAAGCGAGGGAGGAGGTTTTGAGCGAGAGGAGGAGGATGCCTTATGAGGCTGTTTTTCGCTGAGGCCGGAGGGGGAGGAGGGAGGAGGGATTCTTGGTTGGGTTGGTTGGAGAGATTCCTTCGTTGTTGTTTCTACTACTCGTAACCGCGCTCTCGTGCATCGCATTGCAATCAGTCGTTCGTCCTCTACCTCGCCATCTTGTCTAGGAGCAGGAGCGCAAGAAGGAAGCGGATTTGCGAAGGTCCCCCCAACTCCGCAACGAGCAAGCACGCTCAGTACCGACAAGAAGCACGGAGTCTCAGGTGACGAGAGCGAGGCAAAGCCTGGCCAAAGAAAGCGACGGAGGAAGCGAAGCCGAGCAGGAGGAAGCGCAAAGAGCAAAGTGATCGTGACGAGGACCTGTGCGTTGCGTTGCGTGTTCGTTGGCCGAGGGAGATAGAGTTCGTTTCTGGGTGTCCCGGGAGCGTTGGGTGAGACGGGCCGGCGAGAAGGGGAGCGAGCGGGCGGAAGCGAGCGAGGAGGGGACGACGGACGACGGAGGAGAAGGTGCGAGTGGTTTGGCTTCTGACGCACGAGAACAGCGTCGAAGTGCGACCGACTTCGTTCTTGCAGAGTGTTCGTAGCGGGTCCTACGCGAGAGGAGGACCGTCGAGCCAGAAGTCGCTGCTCGTCCTCGCTCGCAACCACACTCGGAGGCGTTTGTAGACCGGAGGAAGCGAGGACCTCTCCCCTGCTCGCATTTGATTCACCGCGCAGATCCTACGCACTTTCTACGGAAGCTCGGTCGAAGAGCACAAGGGGTCAGGGAACAAGGAGAAAGCCAAGCGAAGAGGGGACGTCCGTCGTCTGGAATACGAAATCTGCCTCGAGGGAGGGGAAAGGAAGGCCGACCCGCTCTTCGAGAGCCTTGTGCTGTACTGGTTCGCCACTGGCCCTGGCGAGCCGTGCTGGCGAGCGAGGAGGCGACTACCGACGACGGAGGCTCGACTGCAATTCAGGTGGCCAGCAGGGGAACGGCTTGGGACGTGGGCAGTCGTTGATGAGCGGGTGGGTGGAGACCGGGCAGGGTTCATTTTCAACAGGCTGGGGACGATATGAACGCGCAGGCAGGCACGAGGAAGAAGGAGTGATGGCCGAATGGAGGAGTTTGAGAGGCAGAGCGCGAGTCCGTCCCGTTGTCAAGCCCACTGGACTCGTCCGTTGCTCGTCGTCGTCGTCCTTGCTGGCAGTACTGTACTGTACTGTATGGGCGAGGGTGACTGGTTGCCAGGAGACGAGCGGGCCCCTTGCTGGTGTGGTCATCGCCGTCTCTGGGCGAGGTTCGATTGCCCCGGGGGCGTCCATTCTGTGGATTGTGCCTGTTCCAGGTACACATCTGCGAGTGTGGCACGCGACAGCGCACAGGCGGACTTGATGCCGTCAACCCCCGTCGTCGCTCGCTTGCGGTCGACGTTACGCTCGCCTGCCGCTCTTACACTTGCTCACACTCGACTGCCCCTAACCCTTGCCGCTGCGAGCCCACGTCGAGTGAGCGAGCGAGAAGAAGCTGCACAACCCGGCCTCCGGCAGACTCTGCGGCCCGTTTTCGTGCCCTCGGACAACGACTCAGCTCGTCGGCCTCATCGACGGCCAGCCCACTTTTCCCTCCCCCAGCGCACCGCCCGCAACCCCGCGCGAGGGGCCACACACCGCTCGACTTTGCGCACTCGCACCCTTCGCAAGGGGAGCAGGCGAAACTGCAGCGGAGTCCGCGCAGAGAGAGAGAGAAGGTCAGTCTCGCTCGCACTCGCAGTCTGCCCACTCGGAGTGTAGACACACTCACACGCTCAATTGTCGACGCAGATCCTCGAGAAACGAACGCACCCCCCACCGCGCTAGAGTCCCCCATGCACCAGCAGCAGCACACTCCCTTCTTTCTCTCGCACGCTTCTCCCCTCGACTCAAACTCGACGAGCTCGACAATGTTCGCGTCGCCAGCCCAGTTCGACCCGTACGCGTTCGCACACATCGCGACCGGCTCGCCCGCACCGTCGACCGCCTCGTCGTCGAGCAGCTCGGCGTCTCCGTCGCTCTTCGACCTCCCTTCGCCCCAAAGCATGCCCATCTCGACTCCATCGCCCAGCTCGTCGTCCTCGCTCGCACTCCCTTTCTACTCCGACTCGCACACAGGTCGCTCGTCCAGCTACGACTCGCACATGGGAGACTTTGCGCTGCCGCAGACCGCGTCGACCGGCGGAATGACCATCAACCCGTCCCTCCTCTTCGGCGCGGACTTCTGCGCGCCCGCACCAACCGACTCGTTCCTCTCCTCCTCTGCGCCCTCCTCCTCTTCCTCGTCGCACCCCTTCTTCCCCTCGTCCTCGCCTCCCCAACCCCTCCCCCCTCCCCTCTTTGGCGAGTCCACAACGCCGCAACAACGACGCGCACAAGTCGCAGCCCTCTCCTCCCTCGTCGTCGTCAAGCCCGCGCCGTCCTCCGCCGGACCCGTCAAGCGCGGGAAAGGCGGTGCAGCTCGTACGCGCAGTCTGAGCCAAGGACGCGCGACGGCTGCCCCACGAGGTCGACGAGCGAGTGCGAACGACAGCACGGACGACGGAGGAGCCAAATCGGCGAAATCCTGGCTCGACGCGCTCAAAGAAGCCGAAATCAAAGCCAAACTCCGCCGACTCCAAACCCAGGCTCAGTTCGATGGTCCGCCGACGCCCGGGAGCGGTGGGAGGATGGCCCAGCTCCAGAGCCAGTTGTTGGCGCAGAGTATGGCCCCTCAGACGGGACCGGGGATCGTCGCACAGTGCGAGGCGTCGACCGCCATGTTGGGCGGCGCGGCGTTCCCTTGGGTGCGGTAGGGACCGCTTGCACATCCCCCTTCCTCTCTCTACTCAGTTCATATTCCGGTTTTTCGTGTTTCCTCAGCAGTACACCCACTCGCAGTCCCCTCGTACCAAACCCTTCGTTCTTTCCTCCCTCTCACTCGGTTTGTACAGCTGTACCACCTCCGTTCCCCGATGACCCACAGGACCCGTCCGTCTATACACTCCCACCCAACCCCTTGTGCACACACCCTCTCTCAGTAGATATCGCCTCGAACGCTCTTATAGCTAAAGTAGTCGACGGTCTTTCGACCGTCTTGCGAAAGAAAGTCTCTATCTTATCTCCTCTCTCGCCGCGAGGGAGAACGGAGAGAACTCATACGCCGTTGCACGGAAGCGCAGGTCGGGCTGAGTTACTTCGTGACCCAAGGTTTGATCTGCGCGTCGAGGTACTCTTCTACTTTCCTCTGCGTTTCGGGATCGAGAACGCGTTTGTCGGGCCGTCCGAGGCGCGCCCATGGCCAGAGGTACTGCGCGAAGCGAAGCGAAGCGAAGCGAGGTCAGTTCGTCCGTTCAAAGACATGGGAGGGAGAGCTTCAAGAAGATCAATGGAGGAAGAACGAGCGCACCTTTCCTCCGAACCCCTCTCCCTCGTCGCTCGTCGCCCCCCAAAGCTGCGTCCAAGCACCCATCTCGACCGGCCACACAAGCCAGCTCGTGACGCGCGCTTCGAGTCCTCGCAGGTGGCGCTGGAGGTCGGTCGCGATCCCGCCTGGGTGGAGAGAGGTGCTGACGAGGTAGGGGTAGCGCGAGGAGAGGATGTTGGAGGCGAGGATGTTGCCGAGTTTGGATTGGCCGTCTGCCGGCGCACGCGGGCGAGTCAGCCGAGCCAACGACTCCAGTACGACGAGCAAGGACTGACAGAGCCTCCAAGAAGCCGCGAACCCTCCCCACTTCTCCAACGTCCTGTCCCTCGCCTCCCCGCCCTCGAGCGTCGACCACTCGATCCCTGTCGCGCCGGGCGCCATCTTGTGCGCCGAGGAAGAGGTGTGCATGATGCGGGGCTTGGTGCCGGTTGTGGTGAAGGAGGTTTCGAGAGCGGGGAGCTGCGGGCGGGAGACGTCAGTGGATAGGATAGGCGGGATGAGGGGAGGGCGCGAGACGGACGAGGAGGATCTGCGCGGCGGTAGACTCGTCAGTGTCTAGAGGCTTGCGAGCGGAGAATAAAGAGCGCACGCAAAATAGGTAGTGACCGACGACGTTCGTTCCTGTCGCGAGACTGATTCAGCAGAGCACGCAGAACGGGCGACGAGTCGCGACGCACCCCACTGCAAGTCGTAATTCTGCTTCGTGAGCAGGTCAGGCGGACACTTCATCACGCCGGCGTTGCAGAACAGCAAGTCGAGCTGCTTCTCCTTGGCGAGAAAGTCGTCCGCCGCCTGCTTGACCGCATCGAGGTCACTCAAATCGAGCTTGAGAAACTCGAGTTGGCCCTTCGTGTGGCGCTCCGTGACGAACGCCTCGAGTTTGTGAATCGCTTCGCGGGCCTTGGTCTCGTCTCGGCAGGCGATGTAGACTTTGGCGTTCTTGAGGACGAGCTGCTTGGCTGTCTCGTAGCCGATGCCGACATTTGCGCCTGTGACGATGACGACCTGCGAGCGGGAGGCGCAATCAGCGATCGCGAAGGAGCAGCTCCCTAGAGAGAGGAACGGGAACGCACCTTGCCCGTCAAGTCGGGCACGTCGCGCTCCGGGTCGTACGTCGACGTGGGTGGGAAGATGGTGTGTGAGAGGTCGGTGTCGGGGCAGAGGCGCACGAGGAGGTTGGCGAGGATCCCCATGGCAGGTGGGGAAGCAAGCGGGAGAGTCGGTCGAGCGTGGGAGAGCGAGGTCGGCTGAGCAGGTGCAGAAGAAGAGCAGAGAGAGCAGTGCGAGCTTGTAGTTGCTCTTGCAGGCGGAGGTCCAGCGAGTGGAGGAACTCGAAGGACGCGCACAGCTTCGGCAGGAGGGCAAGGTGGGATCGTCCCGCGCCTCGGCTCGTAAGACCGCTCAGGGTCATACGTGCGAGCGTCGTATAGTCCTCTTCAGCTCGCCCAGACTCGTCCCATCCTTCTGGCAGCTGTGTGAGGCGAGGTTGACGCGCGAGGTTGATGAGGAACGTCGGGGGAGGAGGGGAGGCGCTACTGGGCGAACGGGCGAGACTGGCGGGTCGTCTGTAGCGTGTCTCCGAGTCCTGATAGCTAGCTCAGCAGCTCAAATCCCGCTTACAGCTCGAGCAGGCGAGCAGTCGCCGCGAGACCTTGCTCTCTCCCTCCCGCTCACGCTCAGCGACAGACGATGGCTACCACCGCTGGATCGTCCCGTGCTGCTCAGACACCATCGCTAGACAACTCAGAGTACTTAGAGACTCGCTCTGTGCGCTCTCATTCTTTCCCATCGCCCTCTCCTCCCGCCCCCACTTCATCGCCAAACGAGAACCGTCGCTGACCTCGCACGCCCGCAGGTCCAACTCGAATGGCGTGTGAGCAACTTGAAGCAGCTTTTCGACCAGACCAAGGGCGAGAGCAAGTCCCGCTGCGTCAAGGTGCGCCCGCATCGCCCTTCCCGCTGGACCTCGAGCTGACATTGCTAGCTGCGTCGTTCGCTGCGTTTATTCGCACGCACAGTCCGCCCTCTTCGACAACTCGCGATGGCAGCTCTTCCTATACCCTGTGCGCCCACTTCCGTTCTCCACCCTCGCCTCTTCCGCTCACCTCCCTCCTCGCATAGAACTCGGGCCACGACAACTACGTCTCGCTGTACCTCTCCTGCGAGCCAACGCAAGCGGAGAAGGAGCGGGCACTGGCGGAACCACCGGCAGTCGCAGCGGCTGATGGTGCTGTGGGCGCGAAGGAGGGCAAGGAGAAGGACCGGGTGCCTTGGCGGCGGGATGGGAAGTTCAAGTTCACGTTCGAGGTGCGCACGACATATTACCTGTTGCTAAACGGTACTGACGCAGATGTACCCGCCAGGCCCGCTCGATTGACCGCCGGATTGTCTTCAAGCAGCTCGAAGCCGACAACCACGACTTCAGTTTCCGCACTAAGAACTGGGGTTTCCTCAATTTCTGGCGACGCAGCGAGGCGTACTACAACAACCCGAACACACGAGCGAGCGACGCCTTCCTCATCGTCTGCACGATCGTCTGCGAGCCAACTTTGCCGACGAGCCCGCCGCTTCCGCACTTGCTCGTGCCCAAGACGCTCATCAATGCTTATGCATCGATGTTTGATGACCCGGACTATGCGGATGTGGTCTTCCGCATCAGGCCTGAAGGCGTCGAGGGCAAGAAGGGGAGGGAGAAGAGGCTGTACGCGGCGAAGAAGGTGCTTGCTGGGCGGAGCGAGTACTTTGACATGAGTGAGTCGTCCGCCCACCGCAAGAGAAGCTCGAACTCACGCTTGTTACACCCGCAGTGCTCTCGTCCGGCTTTCACGAGTCCACCCGCACCACCACCGCCGCACCGTCCGCCAGCACCTTCGAAGAATTGGAAGACGAAGGCGAGCTCGACTACGAGTCGACGAGCGATGACGAAGTGGATCTCGATGAGGACGACAACTCGGGCGGCGAGAGCACCGAGTCTGAGCAAGAGGACGAGTCGATGTTGGGCAGTCCGCGGAGACAAGACTTCTCTCCCGCTCAGCCTCTTGCTTCGTCCAGTGCCTTCTCCGATCCCCGCGATCCAGACGCGACAGACCAAGCGCCCTCATCGCCCGAACTCGCTCGCACGCCTATGCCTTCTGCTCCTCGCCGCCCTCTCTCCCCTACCTCTCCCGTCTCGATCTCTGACGACGAGCGCCCCAATCGCGCAGACGGCGACCGGAGCGCCGACGAATCCTCCTCGACCGACGGCGGCGAATCGGAATCCCAGCTTGCTGGCAGGCCTGCGACACCGTCCACCGGTGCGGCAAGCAGGTTTGTCGACGCGCCGAGTGCGCCGCAGTCGCCTGTCAGGCCTGCTACGGCGCGCGCACCGGCTTCGGCGACGTCGTTGGTGCGGAGGGGAGGGCCGATCGCGCTCACGCCGCGGAAGAAGAGGGAGCCGAGGAAGAAGGCGCCGGCGGATGATCGGCCGAGGTTTGAGGTGGTCGTTACGGATGCTGCGTGAGTGCGGTGCGGTATCTCACTCAGTACAGCACTGACCCTGTCTTCGCTCACTCGCGCCCGCAGCTACTCGACCTACCGCGCCCTGCTGCACTACCTGTACACCGACTCGATCTCGTTCTCCCCTCTCGCCTCAACCTACTACGTCGCCAAAGACTACGCAGCAAACAACTCGCTTCCCTTCCCCTACGCCTCCCGCCGCGCCTACCTGCTCGCCCTCTCGCCTCCTTCGATGTCCGGCATCGCCGCTTCGAACGAATCGAATGCCGTCGCGCCGTGTTCGGCGAAGGCAATCTACAGGCTCAGCGACAAGATGGGATTGGTGGAGCTGAAGGAGCGTGCGTTCGAGCACATCGTCTCGAGTCTGAACGCGCAGAACGTGAGTGGCTCTTGCTTCCGTCCGGCCGCACTCGCGCTTCTTCGAGCCCCTCGCTGAACCGCGTGTCTCCGTCTTCCCTCGCAGATCGTCTACGAGGTGTTTGGCTCCTTCTCCAATCGCTTCGACGAGGTTCGCCGCGTCGAGATTGCCTTCCTCCTCGAAAAATGGGTGCGTCCTCTCGCTCAGCTACAGCTCACCAGCCCGCCAACTGACACTCTATCCGCGCAGAACGAAGTCCGCTCGTCGCCTCAGATGCGCAAAGTCTTCGACTACGTCCGCACCGCCCGCTTCCCCGGCTTCGAAGACGTCTGGCTCGAGATCGTCCAGAACCTCGAGGTCCGCATCCCGCCTCCTGTCGCGCAGGCGCCGGCTGCGAGTTCTGCAGCGGGCGGGGGAGCGGGAAGTGGAGCGGGAGAGGAGGAGAGGGCGTGAGGGGTTGGTTCGAAGGGTGCGGGGCGGATAGGCGCGTTCTATTTCCTCTCCATTTGCTGTTGATGTCTCTATTGCTTGCTATGCATCGGATTTGTCGTCTCTCGAAGGTCGCAGCGAGCGGGAGGAGCGTTCTCGACATGGACGACCTTCTCAGACGGATGCGAAGATTACGAAGACCTCCCGCTCATAGCACCCTGCTACTCTTGCCCATTCTATCGCATCCAAATACGCTCCCTGACGCCCTGAGCCAGTACCCTCGCAAGACACCCCGTCAATACGCCCGTTCACCACGACAAGACCGACAGCGCAACCTCATTCCTGCGTCTCGCGTCAACTTCGAAGCCTCGACGTGACGACCTACTCTTGAAGAGCGAGTGCTGAGCATCGTGAGCCGGAAGGAGGAGCTTCAGGCGGAACCAGGCGATCAAGTTGCTCTTGTCCGCGTCGAGCGGGTTGATGCAGATGTGTAAGGCGACCGTCTGAGGAGGCGAGGGCTCCTGCAGCTGCTGCCAGGCGTCACCCTCTTGTGCAATGGAGACCTTGGCGGGGAAGGGTACGCCGTGTTCGTGAGCTGTGAGGGTAGGCAAAGTCAGTGATCCAGCTGTCAACGCAGAAAGCAGCCGAGGTCTCACGCGTGAGGATGAAGTGCAGCCAGAACATTCCCGCCTTCCGCTGCGCGTAGTGCTTCGACATGTTCCTGCCCGTTAGGGTGGTGAACCAAGGACCGCCGCTCTGGTTGCCCTCAACAAGACGAGGTCCCGCCATCGTGTACTTCTGGGAGGCGCGGATGGCGGAGGTGTAGAGAACGAATCGAGGGGGGTGTGCCCTGCTCTCGTAGACCTCGAGGGGAACAGCCGGACCATGTACCGGGATGGGGTGCTCGGCTGTGTGGCACTCAAGGTGAGCAGTGATGTTGACTGCAGAAAGTATGGCTTTGGTGCACCTGTGGCGGAGCCTGGCGAGATGTGAAGTGCGCCTGCCCCGTCGTATACAAGGTCACGTTTGAGGAGGATCTTGCTGAAATGCTCAATGATGGCCTTCAAGATGCGGCGGAGGGCGTTTTCGCCACCGTAGCCGTTCACCTGCGAGCCGATGAGGCGTACTCAGTGTTTGGCGCAGGGAGGATACTATGTCGAGGAGGGAGGAACGCGGAGAGGCGGGAACGCACGATCCTGTGGGTCTGCCTCCGTTCCTCCTTGAGCTCCCAGGCCTCCTTGTCTGCGAGAAGGGCGAGGTGGTGAGCGCGGGTGTCGGGAGACTTCGTACTTGAACGAGCTGACTGCCGAGAGAAATTACTCACTCGTCGTCAACATGCTGTGCACGTCCATGGCGGTCAGAGGCAGCTGAAAGCAGGCGTTCAGAGCGGGAGTAGGAGAGGGACAGCAAGCTCGATAGCAACGCAAGCCCTGAAGAGAAAGGGAGAGGAGCAGCCGAAGACGAAAGATCGTGTCGCAACTCCACGGACCCACCGCGGACTCTCCTTCAGCATCGCCACGCTCGACCTCTTCCTGCTTCCTTAGAGCTCGCCTTCTGCTTGTCCAGGCGCAGAGACTGTCGCAGCGCAAGCGAAGCGACATCCGTTTGACCTTCCCAAGCAGTGTCAAACCCACTCCCTCTCCTCCTCAACAGCCATTCCGCTGGAGAGGCTCTCTAGCTGGCTACTGCAAGTGTAATGACGGGAGGCGGAGCTCGTCGCTACCAGGAGAAAACCGAAGGCGAAGGCTCACCGCGACGCCTCGTACCGACGGCGAAAGTGCTGGCGAGCGACTGCTGCACCGCTCCCGCTGTGCCACGATGCGACGGAAGAGCGAGATGGAGACGGAAATGGACGACAGGGTGATCGACATCATCCTGGAGTCGCTTGAGGGCGCAGTCGAAGATGACGGTTTGCGGAGGATGTTCGACGCGGACGTGCTCGAGCGGGTTGCCGCACTGCGAGACGTAGAGATCGATGGAGTACGGAAGGTCGTAGTGTGCCGCTGAGGGACAGTGCGGAACAAGCGTCAGCACACGAAGTCGAGGACGGTCAGCGCATGAGAGATGTGGTAGACTTACGCAGGAAGAGCCCCGACATGATCCTGAAAGGTCCGCTGCCTGGCTGCGCATAGTGTTGAGCCATCTCCTTCCCCACCGACCTTGTAGCGTATCCGTAAACTTTCCGCGCAGGCTGCCAGACCTCCGCGAGGCAAGGGCCGGCCATGAACGTGTCGCCAGTACTCTCGGACACGGCGTAGCGGCGGGAAGAGCCCCGTCCAGCAAGCTTTGCCTTGAAGGGGACGGCCGGCATGGAGATACCGACGGGGTCGCGCGCTGGACGAGCGCAAGGCGAATGTCAGCGAGGCCGCAAGTATACCGCTCAAGCTTGTACTGACTTGTTCCATGACCTGGCGTAACCACGAGCCGTCCTTGCGGGACGTACTGAGCCTCGTTGCGTGGAACGCCGAGAAGCTGGACCTGCAGCTCCTTGATGAGCACGACGAAGATGGCTTCGAGGGGTTCGCGCTGCGTGTCGAAGCTGGAATCAAACGGTCCACTGCGGAAGGTATTGAGCTGCGTGAACGCAAAGAAAGCAGAACCGCTTCAGCATGTTGGATAGCCAGTCGGACGCAAGAAGGGGGAGCGCACGAGTCGGTTGGTTACAGCGGCGCGAGAAGCCTCGAGCGGTTCAACGTCTGCTCGAGCTCGTCATGGTCAGCATGGGATGACGAGCTGGATGCTCCTCGGAAGGTGCTCGCGCACCTTGAGCGTGTGTGAGGTGGGACAAGTTCATCTTGAGCGTCCGTGTCGAGGGACCGAGGACGAGCGAGGGCTGGCAGCAAGATAAGGCCAATCCAGTGAGAAGGGAGACGGGGGAAGAAGAAGAAGCGAAAGCAGCGAGCAAACAAGCGTCGTGGATGCGAAGTCCGCGGATACCCCGATTCCGCCTCCTCGTCCTCGTCCGTGAGAGGGCGCAAGCGAAGCAAAAGACGCGAGCGAGAGCACACGGGAACTTAGCACGACCGCTACTTCCACCCGAACACGGCCGGTCCCGTCGCCCCCTTCCTCCTCGAAGCAACCGCAAACCCCTTGCTCAACGACCGCTCCGTCGCTGGTCCCGCCGCTCCTGCCGGTTTTGTCAGATCAAGTCGGACGAAGGCTTGAGGGATGGCCGGGCCGGGGGCAGGAGGTGGATGCGGAAGGCGACATCTGGGTGAGGGGACCACTTGTATGTGTCCTCGAGTGGTCGGCCGAGTTGCTCGATGGTCGCGGTGAAAGCGAAGGGGACGAGGGGAGCTGGGGAAAACGGTCGACGAGAGATTGATGGAATGAGGAGTGCTTCGCAAAGACAAGATGGAAAGAACAAACGATGGAAATCAACACTCAACGCGTGTGGGCGGTCCTGCAAGCCGGCCTGCGCAATCGTTTCCGCCTCATCCGTCGGCCAATTGTACTTGTGTTCCACTCTGACGTAGCTCTGAACGAGGCGCGGAGCCGAAATCTCACGTATGTCTGTCTTGTGGCCCTTCTTCTCGCCGCCCGAGTCGGGGAGAAAGCGCTCGAGGACGAAGCGGCGAGGCCATCGGCCACTTGCGCGAATCTGGACGACGTGAATAGAGACGCCGGGGGCGCGGAGGACGATGGGTTCGGGGGCTGGTGGGCGAACGCTCAGCGAGAGTTGCGGGCAGAGGGGGCCAGGATGCAAACTCACCGGTGTTCAAGCCCCCTTCAATGACCAGCCCGCCGGCGTCGTAGTGCTGGTAACCGTTCGGGTTGGCTCTAGTCGCTGGCTCAGCTGGCTCGAAGCCTGTCAAGTTGATCTGCAACCAATTGACGATAGCCGCAACGATCCGCTGCAGCCCCTCGTGCCCGCCGTAAGAGTGGACCTGTCGTCGAGATTGTGAGCAGCTCCTGCATGTCGTGCTCTACACCGGGGACGAGAAAGCACGCACGATTCGCCCCGTTGCCGCAGTCCGCTTCTGCCGTTCTTCTTGCAAAGCGCCCGAGTCAAGCATGGCGTGAAGGCTCATAGCGTGCGAGTTCTAAAGTCTGCGGAAGCAGCAGAGCGTAGCGAGAGAGGTGAAGAGCGAGGAGGAACGAGGACACCGGGTTGAGGAGGGTCCGCGGATCTTCCGGCGGCTTCAACGACGATGCGAGACTCGACAACAAGCCAGGACTGACAAGATAGCCCTGCAGAGCGCCCAGCAAGCATGCTCGAAGCCAGCAGCGACGTCGCACGTCGTCGAGAGGGGTGGGAGAGAGCGCGAGAGGATCGTGCAATGCGTCCTCCTCGTCGCAAGCTGTTCTGCGAGTCCCGTCGAGCGTTCAGCGTCGTCTACGAGCGCACAAGAGAGGCCAAGAGGCGCAACACTGGCTCGCACGCGTCATCGCTTCGCTTGCTGGTCAAGTCGTCAACGCGTCAACCGGCGAGCAACTTCCCTTTGCTTGCACTGCTCTCGCTTGTCCAGCTTGACAGACTTGCTGTGCTCGAAGGGATCTCCTGGACTGGCTCACTGGTACGCACACTTCCGCCGAACGAACGCCGCTCCTACCGACGACGGACGGGGCCCTCGCGACGCTCACCTCCTCCATCCCGCTCACCCACCGCACAGGACTCGCTGTGGGACAGGAAACAGAGGCTTACAGTCACTTACACCGCGCGCAGACTGCTACGCGTCGAGCACCCGCATCCTGCCCCGTCTTCTCGCTCCCCCTTCCTGTTCAATCACCTTCCTCTCTCGATCCCCTCGACACCGACCGAGCGACAGAATCGTAGCGCCTACTGAACTGCACACGAGGCCTGCACACTCAGCAACAGTCACCACCCCGTTGCACGCCAGCTCGACCGCCCAACACAGCCTCGACTCGCCTCCCCCTCCCTTCCTCCTCACGCGACTTCTTCTCCACCCGCTTCGCCCTCTCTCCGCACGGAACTGAGCAACGATGGTTCTCTTTGGGTATGGAGACTACAGCTACGTGCGTTCCGCGATCGCCTCGAGGTGCGGCAAAGGTGAAACGAACGTCTCCCGCTGACCTGCTGCTTCTTCTTCGTTCCGCCTTGCACAGCCCTGCCGGAATATGTGAGTAGACGCTCACAGCAAGACAATTGCGTCACTTCCTTGTGACGAGCTCCTGACGACTTGCGCCCCATCTTCGTCTCGCAGCCCCTCAATGCCCATCTGCAACCTCTTCTTCCGCCAACTGCTCGTCCATCCTCATGGCATGCAAGCGCCCGCCTCCGAACTTCTGGGCCTTCCTCCCGCCTCCGACCCCAACTTCCAGTCGGCGCTGAGGAGTGCCGGAGTAGGCATAGGCGCGAGCTGCTTCATCCCCCGGGCTGGCTTTGTCGGTGGTGAGAGCGGGTACTTGGGGAACATCGCGAATCTGATTCTGGTGAGTGCGAGGCTTCTCTTTGAAGCGCAATTGGGGTGCGCTGGAGGGTCGGGCCAGCGCGAGCGGCGAACAGCTTTGCGCGTTCGTTGCTGTGTACCTCCGCTCCGCACGCCCTGGCGGCCTACACCACTCCAAACCTTTGCTGACCACCACTCTTTCGCAGTGCGGCATCGCCGTCCTCGTCGGTCTCGCCCTCGCAGCCGCCGCGATCCGCCGCACCGCCGCCGTCGGACGCGTCGAGATGACCATCCTCTTCCTCATGTACGCGGTCGTGCAGGGATTGCAGTTGGCGGACAACTCGGCGTTGTTGAAGCAGGGTAGTCTGGCGTTGACTTGGTGCGTCTTCTCTCGTTTCTCGCGGTCGCGGAGTCTGGCACCACGGCAGATCGTTGGACAGACGCCGCTCGACAGGGAGCTTACGACGGAGACTGACGCAGCGTTGCGCTCGCAGGGTCACGGCGGTGCACGTCGGCATGCTCGTCGCGCTGTTCTGGGTCCTCGTCTGGGTCGCCTTCCTCTCCCTCCAAGTCGTCGAAGACGGCACGCTCCTCTCGCTCATCCCCCTCTTCGGAATCGGCATCATCCTCGCCGTCGGATCAGGCTACATCGCGCTCGACACGGGTCTCACGATCACCGACTACTTCCAGAGCAAGAACCCGGCGCAGATCCACTCGGCTTGGTTGTTCTCCCTCACGATCGTTTGGCCAGCTGCGGCGGCGGCGGTTTACTTCATCATCCAGGCGGGTGTTGTCGCGAGGGTATTGAGGGAGAAGAAGCCGCTTTGTGAGTCTCGCTCGCAACTTCTCGTCCGTCTCCGTCCGCTTCCAGGGCGCCGTACTGACTATACATGCGGAAACGCTCGCAGTCACCCTCCTCGGCGCAGCATTCGTTTTCGCCCTCGGCCAAGCCGCCTACTACGCCCTCTCGCACCGCATCTGCACCGGCACGCACGCCAAGATCGACGGAAGCTGGATCGCGACGCTGCTCGAGACTGTCACCATCGGGTTGATTTACGCTTCGTGGACGTTCATCACGGAGGACGAGTGGGACGTGAGTGCGACTCTATTGAGCTTGAGGAGGGATCGAGATTGATGAATGGCTTCCGCAGGACTACACGATTGGCGGCGCCAACTCGGCGACGTACTGAGCCTGCCGTCATCCTTCTTTCCTTCTCCCGTTCCCTCTTCGTCTTTCGCACGTTCTGCCCGAATCCCTCTCTTTGCATGGACGCTACAACACCAAGCCTTACACTCGCTTCCTCGTTTTCTTGTTCTCGCAAAACCCTCGGGGTACGGTTTCTCCCAACCCAACCGCTCGTCTCCCTTCCAGTAATCTCGTTCCGCTCGTCGTGCGATACCCTTACCCGAAACCTCTCTCTTGTTCCCACGTTTCTCCTCCTTACATCGTACAGACTTAATGTAGTACCACCTCTTCACTTCAACCTTTCAGCCTGGCGCTCATATTCTCTAGATACGAGGCAGTCGAGCGATCCAGCGCGCTCTCCTCTCGCTCACACGCCGTCCGTCCGCCGGAGAGCACCCATGTGTATCCTTGCAGTCGCCGCAGGTCCGTCTAGAACCCCTTGCTCCACAGGAACTCCTTGACCTCCCTCGCCCAGTTGCCTCGCAACACGACTGCCCCCGCCGCAGGCCGGATGTACGGGTGAGATTCGGGGATGTATTGCGCGATGTGGCGTTGGAGATGCTGTCGTCCTCAGCATAGGTCAGCGAGAGGTGCGCGTGGAGCGCGAGGGAAAGGAGCGCACGGTGAGTTCTCCTCGAGTCTTGCGGATCACGGTCAGGACTCGTCGACCTTGTTGCTTGTAGTCGGTGTACACAGGCTGTTTCCCCGTGCTCCTGATCAGCCCACACAGCCCAAACAGCGAGTCGAGAGCAACTGGACGCACCAACTCTCCGTTCGAGGTCCGGGGCACAAAGTACGTCAACTCGGGCTGCTCGCCCTCCTTCTTGGGCTTGGTGAACCCGCCAATCGAGTCCGTGGAGGAACCAGGCGCAACTTTGGGCTCTATTGGCGCGGCGGGAGCGGGAGAGGGCTCCGAGACGGATGAGGGCGATGAGGAGGAGAGGCGGAGGAAGGGCAGGGCTGAGGGAGGCGCGGCGCGTGTGCGCAGGGTTGGGAGAGCAGTGAGGAGTGGTCGGAAGCGCTGCATCGTGCGTCTGGCGAGGGCGAGGTCGTGTGAGGAGGACGACCCGGTCGAGCTGGCTTTCGACGAGGTGAAGTTGAGAGAGTCTCGCTGGAAGGCAAGCAAGTACCGTAGATCGGAGTAGAGAATGCGATAGTATGATGCATGCAACAAGCGCGAGACATGTCTCGCTACAACGGACGCAAGTCTTCCTCCTCCTCGTCCGCCCCTGCCCCTGCCGCTGCCGCCGCGTCCTGCGCAGGCTGCGACCCCTCTTGCATCTGCTCATCGTCGTTCTCCGGCTCGTTGACCCGCAAACGCTTGAGAGGCGACTCGGTCTTGATGTACACCTCGGCGCTGCGCTTGCTGGGCGCGGACGGCGTTGGTGAATTGTCGTTGTCGTCGAGCGTGATCTCCGCCACCGGTCTGCTGTTCGACGAAGTCGGATTCTTCTGTGGTTGCGAGTTAGAGCGTCAGCATCAGAACGCGAGTCTACGAAAGAGAGGCAGGACTCGCCGCCTTTTCGAGCTCGCTCTTGAGCCGCTTGATCGTACGCATTGACTTCTTGTACAGCCTGGTGTACTCGGTACACGCGAGCTGGTGAATCGGCAGCATGCGCTTGGTGGTCATTGTCGGGCATCCGGGCGTTTCGCACCTACTCGAGAAATCGTCAGTTCGCAATCTGCAGAATCGAAGGACTCGAACGCACTCGAACGCGTCGCACTCGTCCTCGTGCGCCTTGAGATCATTCCTCGTCCCGCTGAACCGCTCGCAGTTCTTCCTTGGACAGGACACAGTCGCGAACAGGCAGTCGCGCTCCTCGTGCTTCGCGTGCGTGTCTTTGGGACCGCTGAAGCCGCAGCCTTGTTCAGCGTGGACGCAGGGGAGTGGTCGGTATTCGCACTGCGAGGGAGAGGGTGAGGGCAGAGCGGCGAGAGGAGGGGGAAGGACGTACGGTCTCGTCGTGTTTGGGCTGGTCGCGAAGGATACCGGTCCAAAGGCAGCCGAAGGAGAGGTGAGCGCAGTTTACGCTATTCGAAAGTCGTCAGTGAGGCTTCGCGAAGCGGTGGAAGAAGACGCACGTAAGCTCCTGTATAATCCGACGAATCGCCTTTGCAGGTCGCACGTCCGCCGGATCCAGCAGCGGTTCCTGGCATATAGGACAGACCCCAGTCCCGTTGCCATCGCCTTCTGAGCCTGTTGCGCCTTCCTGATTGTCCTGGTCTTGCAGCCCGTCGTGCTCGCTGTCGCCTTCGCTCCCTGTTCTTTCACCGTTCTCTTCTTCCTCCTCACCGTCCCGTTCGGCACCGTTGGCCGGCGCAGGCGTCTCGGACTCGTCGCGCTCGCCTGCCTGCGCTTGAGACGCAAACTCCTGCTCCAAGCCGGGCGCAGCCTCAGCAAGCGTCCGCGCTCGCTTCTTTGGCGGTTCAGGCTCCTTCTCCTCCTCTTCCTCCACGTCGTCTTCAGTCCCGTACAGCTCAGGCCCACATAGACCGCAGATGAGGTGGGCCTGATCGCAGATCTCGGAAGGGTTCTCGAGGACGTCCTTGCAGCCTGCGAAGTCGAAGCGAAAGTGTCAGCAAGCGGACCGCTGAACTCGAAGGAAGCGGCGAACATGGACAGATGAGGTACTCTGGTACTTTGCCCTTCGCGAAAAGGGCGCGGTCGATGCCCATGGCGCGGTGGGAGAGTCGAAGAGGGGAACGAGCGAGTTGCGAAGACAGCGGGAGACGAGGGCACGGCCGGCGTGTGAAGTTCGAGGAGGGCGCGTAGACGGGTCGCAGATAGCTTTCGCGAAGGCTTAGCAGTCAAGCGAGCGAGTTGGAGTGAGTGGGAAAGCGTCGACCTTGGTTGAGGAGGAGGTGGGGAGGAGAGAACAGCGACCACGGCTTCTTGTGGGCTCACGAGGCTCGTGTCTGGCAGGTTAGGCTCTTGATAGCACGTACAGCTTACCCGCCAGTGGAACGCTGATGCCAAACCGCTTCCTCGTCGCCATTTGCAGCTCTCTCTCCGTCCCGTCACTCGCTTTCCGCTTGCACACGCTCTGCGGACGTGGAAAGATGCTGAACTGCTCGTCTACACTGCTCAACTGACCTACACAGACTCACCTGCCATCGCGCGGTGTTGTCGCCCCGACACCTCTCTCACAACCTTTTCCTGCTCGACCACCTCGCACTTCGACAAAACGAGCTTGCGCAGATGCACCGATGCACGGATGGCGAAGGCAGGAATGGCAGGGACTCTGGGACCAGCTGACATGACGGCGGTCAGGACGAGCCGTGATGAGCGTCTGTCGATTCGAGGTGCGTCTCGCTCTCGAGCTTGAACGTGTTTAAGCGGACAACGACTGATGTTCCCATGCTACAGGCCGATGCTGCTTTACCCGACAGGCCGCTGTGTGGAGCGCTGTCCTCGACGTCTCGCTGTCCGTGGCCTCATCTCGCTCGTCTGCTCAACTCTTGCGCTCTACGCAAACCTCCGCCTCCATCCCGAGCGTCGCAAGCGAACGCGCAACTCGGGCTCGCACACCCTCTCTCCCCATCCCCCGGCTTGTCTTAAGGCTCTCAGCAGAGATCACCTCCGTCGACCCGCCTCGCCAAGCTACTACCTGCTCCGGCGGGGAACGCTGGTGAGGCCTATGGTCGACGTGCAGGCCTCAGTTCCCTTTCGGAACGGATTGCTGAGGATTGAGTCATAACTCGCCAACATCGAACTTCCAGCGTCCATACGGGTGTGAGCGACTCTTTCTTGCCGTCTTCCTCGAGGAAACACGGAGCCTCTTCTGCGCCGCCGCGTCAACTAGGCTGCTCAGTGGGCAGTTCTAGGGCGTAGCGGGTCTGCAGAGGGGCGACATGGCAGAGTTCGCTTGACCCGGCGACCGACATACTCCTTCCGTCTTGCACATTCTCCCTTCCTGCTCCTCGCGCAACATTGCTGCAAGCTTCTTGTCGTCGCTCTCATGCTCTCGCCATTCCCCTACCGCGGTCCGCCATATTCCGACCTTCGAGTCGCAGGCGGTCGAAGCGGCGTCCGCCCTCACCTCCTGTACCCCGCTTCTCTCCGCAACGGCTTTTCGCCGACACCGCACGCTGCTGCGGAAGTTCGCACGCCAAAGCACAGGCCTCCGTGGACTTCCGGATATTGCTAGCGCGCCTTTCGCTCGATTTCGCTCTTCTTTGTCTTCCTTCACCTCACCACCGCTCGTGGTCTCTCTCTCCACACCACTCTCGGCTGGCTCGCGACGCGCTGCCCATCATGACGACGACTGCGTCGACTGACGACCACGGCGACCGCACCTCCTCGCCGACCGCTTCCACCTTCTCGACCGAGACCGCGAACGCTATCGCCACTCTTCCCGAAGACAGCTCCGCCTACGACGACGCGAAGAGCAAGGCGACGTCTATCAAGAGCGCCGCGAGGTCGAGCAGGTCGAAGCTGGTCGAGTTGGAGGACGAGGAGACGGCTTCGATCCGGTCAGAGGGCTTCGCGAAATCGCCTACGACTTCGACAGCGCCCATCTTGGCGGTCACTGCGGCGGAGGATGAACTGCAGCGTACGCCGACGAGGGGTGTGACGCCCGAACAGGGCCGCCAGTCGTCGCAGGTGGACGAGGTGGAGGAATCGGAGAAGCCGCTTCCTGTTCTTCCAGGTGCGTCCGAAGGAAATCTCTCAGTCAGGCTTGTGCTGACCACTTTCATGAACAGCCACGAAGGCCTCGAGTACTTACGACGAGGAGAGCCTCAGCTCCAGCAAGAACAGGTCGGATGTCGCAATCGATATGAGCAAGACCAGCTCGACGACCTATCCGCCCATCAAGGCTGAGCTACCGACATCTACGCCTGTTCCTCATGACGAAGTTGTCGCCATTGCGCCGCCGGACGGCGGGCTACGCGCCTGGCTCAACGTTCTCGGCGGCTTCCTCATCCTCTTCGCCTCGTTCGGTCTCGTCACAGCGTACGGCGTCTTCCAAGCGTACTACAAGCAGGTGCGTCAGCTTTTTGACCCTTTCTCAAGCCTTCAGCAATTGACGTCTTTCGAGGCAGGCCTTCTTGCGCGACCACTCCGAAAGTGCCATCTCCTGGATCGGCTCCGTTCAGCTCTGCCTCTTCTTCGTCATGGCGCTTGTTGCCGGGCCGCTCTTCGACAAAGGCCGGTTCCGCTTGCTCATTAGTCTCGGATCTGCGCTCTGGATTCTCTCGTACGTCCCGCTAATCGAGTCGCTCACAACCATTACGCCCTCTGTACTGACCTCTACTCTTGCAGCATCTTTCTCATCCCGCAGGCCACGAAGTACTGGCACACCATGATCATCCAAGGCGTCCTCGGCGGGCTCGGCGTCGGCCTTCTCTTCCTTCCTGCGCTCAGTATCCAAAGCCATTGGTTCGAACGTCGCCGTGCCCTTGCTATCGGACTCGTCGCGAGTGGAACGTCGATCGGCGGTATCGTCTTCCCGATCATGCTCAACAAGCTCATCGTCAAGCCCGACGTCGGCTTTGCGAACGCCGTCCGCGCAGGTGCGTCTTCCGGCTTCCTCAGTCACCGCTTCCGCTCACGAGATCTTCTTTGACAGCCGGCTACCTTGTCGCCGCCCTCCTAGTCATCGCGAACCTCATCATGGCGCCTCACCCTGCCCGCGCCCTCGCGAAGAAGCCGCCTCACCCGCCTCTCAAGCAGATCTTCAACCCGACCTACACATTCTTCGTCATCGGTGCCGCGATTCTCGGCTTTGGCTGCTGGATGCCGAATTTTTACGTGCGTTGCGGGCGTTTCTTGCGACGAACGGTCCGCTGAGCGGTGTTTCGCTGACTCGCGCCGTCCCGCAGATCCAAGTCTACTTCAAGGTGCACGGCGCATCCGCGAACGCGACCTACTACTCGCTCGCCATGTTCAACGCCGGCTCGTTCCTCGGGCGCACACTTCCCAACCTCATCGCCGACTTTGTCGGGCCTTACAACGTCACCGTCTTCTGCTGCACCTGCGCAGCCGTCATCCTTTTCTGCATGGTGTGTTGACGCGCGTTCTGGGAGCCGGTGCTCTCGGCTGACCTCGTCTTTACCAGCACATCATGACGAGCCAGCCTGCCCTAATTGCGTTTGCCATCCTTTACGGCTTCTTCTCAGGCGGCTTCATCTCGCTCGTTTCGCCGCTCATCGTCAGTATCTCGGACCACCTGGGCGAGATTGGGTGCGTCGTTGCCTTCGGTCCTCCGCTGCGCTCGACCTTCCTGACGATCTTCCTTGCCGTACGCAGTCTCCGCCAAGGCATCGCGTTCCTCTGCATGGCGGCATCCGCGCTTGGCGGCAACCCCATCGTCGGAAGGCTGCTCGGGAATCACCATGGCGACTTCCTCTACCCGATCGTCTTCTCCGGTGCGTTTGTTCGCCTCCTTTTCATCCTCCCTCAACCGACGTTGATCGTGACGCAGCGACGATGCTCCTCGGTGGTACCGCCATTACGGCCGTGGGACAGGTCCTACAGATGAAGAAGAAGCGCACTTGGAGGGTCTGAGCAATCCGTCTCGCTCTCGCAGGCACAGTCCAACTCTGTACAGAACTTAGGTCTTCATTGGCACTGTATTGAAGAAGGGATTTCTATCCAGTTTCTAGTGCTTCTTGACGGGCTGCCTCGTCTCATGCTTGGTGAACATGCGGGTGAAAGCGCGCTGGTACTCGACGGGCACGTTGACGACGACACCGAGCTCCTGCGCCCAGTTGAGGACAAGCGAGGGGTCGCGGAGGAACTCGCGAGCGCAGCAGATCTGCACCAATTGAAGGGTTAGAGAAAGCGAGAACGGAGGAAGGCGGAAGCGAATGCACGATGTCGGCCTGCTTCTTGTCGAGGATCTCCTCAGCCTGAACGCCGTCCGTGATCAAGCCAACCGAGGAGATAGGAATGCGCTCCTCCTCCGAGAGCGACTCGCGAATCTGCGCCGCAAAGTCGACCTGATAACCCGGTTTGATCTTGATGTCCTGTCGCGGCGTGTTGCCGCCTGACGAGACGTCGACGACATCAACTCCGCGCTTGATAGCCTCCTTGACAAACTCCTTCGACTGCTCGATTCCCCACGAGATGTACTCTCCGTCCTTCTCCTCGCCTTCGGGCCACCAGTCCGTCGCCGAAATGCGCAGCCAGATTGAGACCTCCTTCGGCGCGGTCTGGCGCATGATGTCGAGGATCTCAAGGGGAAGACGCATGCGGTTTTCGAGCGAGCCGCCGTACTTGTCCGTGCGGGTGTTGCTGACGGGCGAGAGGAAATTGTGGATGGAGCTGCGGGACGAGGGTGTAAGTTCACACGCTCGTCAAAGAGGGACGAAAGGTACGCACTAGCCGTGAGCGCCGTGCAGCTCGATGACCTGCGCTCCCGCCTTGACAGCGCGCGCGGTCGCCGACCTGAACGCCTCCTTGAGCTCATCGATGTCCTTCTCGCTCATCTCCTTCGGCATCGGGAACGTCTTCTCGTCGTACGAGACGGCCGAGGGTCCCCAGATGTTGTCGGTCCAGCCAGATGCGCCGTTGGTCGCGATGTGCGACTTGAGGTGCGGCTTGATCGTGGATGCGTCGAGCCAGGGTGCCAGAGTCGAGGTCTTGCGTCCGCCGTGTCCGAGCTGGATAGCGGGGATCGAGCCTTGCATGCGGATGAAGTCGAAGATGGGCTTCAGGGCGGAAGCCTGCCTATCGTTCCAGAGACCCGAGTCCTGCGGCGAGAGACGGCCATTGGGAAGGACGGACGTCGCTTCCACCATCACGAGTGCGGCTCCGCGAGTGGCAAACGACCCGAGGTGGACGAGGTGCCACGGCGTCAAGACGCCCGCCTCGATGCCGTCCGCCTCGCAGGAGTACTGGCACATCGGCGCGACAATGACGCGGTTCTTGAGCGTGTGCTTGACGTCCTTGCCGAACTCGAGGGGCTTGAAGAGCGTCGGCAGGTCCTTGTTCTGCGGCCATTCGTCGGCGGAGAGAGCCGTTCCGGGCGAAGGGTCGGTGAGGGGTTGGTAGAAGGGTGCGTTCGGGACACCCTCGTTGATCACGTCGGGAGGGGGTTCGTCGTACGTTCCAGCGTCGGTAGCGTTGTGCATCTTGCGCGAGAAACGGGTTGGGAGGGTACGAGGAGAGTGGAGGAGCGTTGGGCGGGCGAGCGAAAGCAGGCGGTTCAGCTGCAAGGGTCTCGCGAGTGCCAGTGTGGCTGTAACAGTCAGCCTGGAGCAGTATTGGCCAGAAGGAGAGTCGTGGGCGAGCGAGAGGCCGTCTCTCGGAGAGCTGCTTCGTCATCTTCGGCTCTGTCCGGACACCTCCCGCTCTCGCAACCGCCTCTTGGGGGCTCAAAGGCATCGTGACTGATCAAGAGTATTCATTCTATGCGTCTGTCCCGCGAGCTCATCGCCGCACGCTCTCGTCGTCGAGCTTTACGATTCCTCCAACTTCATCGCCGAACAACCGGACAAACAGCGCTGGGCGCTCCGCAGGGTCGGGTGCGAGGTGAAAGAGGCTTGAAGGGCTACGAGATGGTGCCAGGGCACTGTAGGAATGGTCGGCGAGCGCGGTAGCGCCACGGGTGACTTGCAGTGAGGGATGCTGGGGCGTCGACAAGACCGTCTCCCTCGCTTCGTGACCTGACGATCGACAGCGACGTTCTGTTGAACGAGCGAGGGACTCACAGTGACTGGGCTAGCACTACAATGAGTCGCCAACTTGAGGGACGACTGTCGACCCTGCTTAGTACCTCTCGCTCGCCTCGCCGTCACGCTCTGCACGCTCTTCCTTTGACATCTTACTCGTGCGACGAGCGACATGAGTCACCTCGGAAACGCAGGTCTAAGCAGCGGACGGCTCTCGCCCCTGCAGCAGTCCCTTCGCTCGGTCGACCTTCCCAAGCCTCGCGAACGGCGTATGGCAGCTTCCGATACGGACGCTCTCCCCTTGGCACGGTGCTCAGCTCTGCTGTACACTTATCAGGGTTGCCGCCCGCTGGAAACCGGACCGCAAAGCTGCCGCGTCCTCCCCTCTGCTCTCCCTGCCTCCGCGACCACCCTCGTCTTACGCCTAACCTGTCCCGCCTACCTCTCAAGTTCATCAGGTTATAGTCTGAGCGTCGCCCCTCTGTCCACATCTTGTTCTGCGAGAGTATCGCCCCTCCATCCCCTCGTCCCTCTCTCCCTCCTTCCACTCACTCGCTCCCGCTTCACCCGCTTCGGAGCCCGCTACAGCCGCTCGCGACGCTCATTCAGACTACACGGACGCATCTGCAGCCCATACACACCCTCCGCCGCTTCCGCCAACCTCGCTCGGCCCTCTTCCCCGCCTCGCCTCCCTCCCCCTTCTCAGCCTCGCAACATGCCCGGAGCGCCGCTTGAGTCGTTCCTCGACGCTGTTCCGGAGCCGCTGATCTGCGCGGGTGAGTCCGCGCGTTCCCAAAGCTGTCGGAGCGCACGCTGACCGTTCCCTCCTCCCTCTCGTCGCCAAGTCTGCTCAGAGGCAGCGTACCCGCCCGTGATCGCGTGCGATGCAGAGCACGTTTTCTGCGATGGGTGCCTGAAGCAAGTGCGGGACGGCGAAGGAGCGGCGCAGGGATGCCCGACGTGCAGGCAGCCTTTGCAGGAGCAGCGGGTTAGCATGGTCCTCAAGCGCGTCCTCGACGGTCTCAAGGTGCGCTGGGGGCTCTCGTAGCTACTCATGACGGGATGCTGACGCTCCTCACGCAGTTCAAGTGTCGCTACGGAGGGTCGGGATGCGAATGGGCGGCGGCTGCTGGCGAAGAAGAGGCTCACGCGAAGGGCGACGTGCGTCTCCTCCTGTCGTGCGCTTCAATTGAAGTATGGCTGACGCCTCTCGCCCCCTCTCGCAGTGTGACTTCCGCCTGATCCGCTGCGAGCACTGCAACGGCGACCGTCTCGCCAAGGACTTCCCGCGCCACGCTCACATGTGCGCCGAGTGGCCCGTCGACTGCTCGAACAAGGCGAACGGCTGCGTCACTTCGATCAAGCGCGGTCAGGTCGATGCGCACACGTCTGTCTGCCCGTACAACAAGTGCGTTTCCCTTTTGCCTCTGACAAGCGGGGTCAAAGAGACTGACTCCTACCCCGCAGGTGCATCAACTACGACCAGTGCAACACGTCGACGACTAAGGAGCTCCTCCTCGTTCACGAAGCCGCCTGCACCCGACTCTTGACTCGCCTTCGCGAAGCGGAAACCGCTCGGCGCAACGACTCGATCACTCGGTACCGCTCCTCAATTTCGTCGAAGGCACCGGAAGTTGCTGTTGGCGGGGGAAGGGAGGGTCCGCTCGGGTGCTACCCTCGCAGGATCACCGGCGGAAGTCATTCGCCTACCCGCGATGACAGCAACCTTTGGGGGACCCTCCAGCTTGGCATGGCTGGAGCCAAGCGCGGTCTGGCCGAAGACTCACCGTCGCCGCAGAAGAAGCGTTGCAAGGAAGAAGTCGTCTTCCTCGACGACTAAACCGGCATCGCGTTCGCAATCGCGTTTCCTTCCGCCTCCTCGCACATCTCGTCTGCCGACAGCGCAGCTCGCGCAGCTCCTTTCGACCATGCCGGCGTTTCACCTTCGTAGCTGTCCTATTGACCGCGACGATTGCGTTCCTCGTTCGCACTCGCAACTCGCTTCTCGTTCGTGTGACCGGGCTCGGATCGAATTGCGCTGCGTTCTGCGATCAGGAAGTATTTACGCAAGAGGAAGGAGACTTCGAGTTGCCTGCAGGACCCAAGAGACTTCCACCCTACCCTCGACAGTCTGCCTCTGCCTCCTCCGCTCACGACTTTCGCGCTTCTCCCGCACAATCGCTTCGAGCGTACTTGCTGCGCTCCGGCAGACTCGGTCTCGAGTTCACCGTCCGTCCATTCAGCTTGGCACGCCGTCCTCGACGCGCACGACCTCCTCATCAGTTTAACGCAACTTCTCGGTTCTCACACGATGGGCGCCGACAAGGAGCGTTTCACGACGACGCTGCCAAATCACCTCCATTGCCGAGCGTGTGTCGAGATCTCCTACCCCGCCGTCATCGTCTGCTCCCAAGGACACCACCTCTGCCGACCCTGCGCGGAGAAGATCGAAGAGTCTGGCGAGCTAGAATGCCCGCTGTGTCTGCGGCCTATGAAGCTGCCGCTGAGGGAGTCGCTGCTCCTGCGACGCGCGGTGGAGGATTACGAGTGAGTTCGCAATGCAGAGAGGCCTGCCTGCGCTGAATCCTCTCCGCCCAGATTTACCTGCCGACATGAAGGATGCGACTGGATTGGCTCTGTTGTGGATGAAGATGAGCATGCGGATAAGGTCAGTCGAGCGTCCTTTCACAGGGACAAGCTTGCGGGCGCTCACCCTCTCCCTCGCAGTGCGAATTTGGTCCGGTTGCCTGCTCGTTGTGCGCGGCGGTCTGCACTCGACGGGAACTGAGCGCGCATCATGGCGTCTGTCCCAACGTGAGGATCCCCTGCCCGAAAGGAGGCGACATCTGCGCCAGTAGGGAATCGGATGGGCTGCGGAATTGAGGGAGGATGCAAGCACACCTCATCGAGGAGTGTGCACAGTGGAAGTGCGTTGATGTGTCTTCGCTGCAAGCCTATGCCGCTGACGCTAGCTCTCCACAATATCAGATGCATCGAAGGTTGCGAAACAAGGACAACACGCGCCAACCTCGCTCAACATGAAGCAGCCTGCAAGGCATCGACAGCTCGCATCCTCGAACTGGAAGCGACACTCGAAGCGCATGAGCTCAAGGTCTCAGCACTGAAGCAGGCCTTGGCACGGTCAAAGGCCGCTCTCGAGGCCATCAGGGACGACAACACCGAAATACGGGTTCCCCGCCCCGTCAGGAGACGCCGCAGACCGCAGCGCATGGTGGGCTTGCCTCAAGAGGAGCTATCTAACGAGGACAAAGCCACACCGTCAACTCCTGACAAGATCCCGAAACTTGAAGCCGTTCCGGACGACACGGCATTGAACCCGCTTCCATCTCCCGCCGCGACACAGCGTCTATTCCGAACTCGTTCTTCCAGCGTCTCACCAGCTCTGCCGGACGTCAAAAAGCCGCGCCTCTTGAGCACCGATTGAGCCGACAACTTGTCTCCGCCCTCCGCTCTTTCCCGCCCTCTCTGCTGGCCTCTTCCTTCTCGCTCTCGGCCTCGCTCTCTCCTCCCTTTGCTCCCTTTGCCTGTGTAGGCTGGTTGTACCGGGGGTTGAGACGAAGAAGGTGTTGTTGCTGGCCGTTTCCAAGCCTTTCTTTGTCCGTACGACAGCTAGTGAGACTGAGAGAGTACTCCAGGACGAGTCGAGAAAGAAAAGGCATCATTGGCATGCGCTCAAGTGTGCCGCACCCAAGCCACAGTGCCGCACTCCTCTCTCCATCCTCCTCCTCTTCTCTCACTCGCTTCCTCCGCTCGATCGCTTCGGTTTCTTTCTCTACTGCTTCGCGATTTTTGTGGAGCCTGTCCAGCGCGCGCGCACGACCGCGCGAAGCCTTCCTCGACCTCTCGACCTCTTCATCAGTTCCACCACTCTCCCAGTTCGTATACGATGGGCGCAGACAAGGAGCGCTTCACGACCGGACTGCCGGAGCACTTACTCTGCGAAATCTGCCTCGGCGTCTCGTACCCGCCCATGGTGCTCTGTGCACAGGAGCACATCGCATGCGAAGGATGTCTGGCGCAGATTCAGGCTTCGCCGGCCAAGAACAGGTGCCCGATGTGCCAGCAAGCGATATCGACGCCTGTCCGTGCTTCTCTCGCGCTGAAGAGAGCTATCGAGGGGTACAAGTGAGTCGTTGGCCATCACGACCCACGACCCCTGGGCGCCCTTACTGACCTCCTTCTCGCTTCGCAGATACACCTGCCGGCATGGTGAATGCGACTGGACAGGAGCGATTTCGGACGAGGAAGGGCATGCGCGCGATGTGAGCTGAACCCTTCGCACGGCTGGCAGGCCTCGGAGGCTTCCCCTTCGCCGCATGCTGACGAATTTCACAAGTAGTGCGGCTCTCGCTTGGTGCGCTGTTATCGATGCGACGACAGCTACATGTCGAAGGACTGGCTTGGACACTGGAGGGTTTGCGCTGGTGCTTTCGTCTCTTGTCCCGAAGGTCGCCAAGCCTGCGTCGGTACACCGGAGGATTGTGGCTTCTTCAAGCGGCGTGACCTTCAGGCGCACCTCGAGAACGACTGTACACAGAGGAAGTGCGCTGCTCATCTCTCTTTGCGCTGTATGTCCGCTCACCTTCTCCTCTCGTCTCGCAGGTGCCGCGTCACGAAAGGCTGCAATACCCGCACGACCTACGCTAACCTTCCTGACCACGAAGCGGGATGCAGCGCGGCAGCGAAGCGCATCCAGGAGCTCGAGGAGGCTTTGCGCGAGAAGGCTGCTGGGGCAAGTCCTCGCAAGACGCCGTTGCACTCGCAGAATGTTCACTTGACCAACGGCGGGCGCTCCGACGGTCTTCACACGCCGTTGCGGGAATGCTCCCTCCCCCACACCGGTGGTTCGACGTCTCGCAAACGCACCTTGGACTTCGCGACCGACTCGGCTGCGATCGGCGCTCCGTCTTCACTCAACGCTTCCTCCGTCACTGGCACTCCTGTCGCCTGTTCGATTGCCGATTCGCTCGTCAAGAAGCAGCGTCGCTCGTCTGGCGCTTGAGCGCGCCGACATCGCAGCAGGACATCTTTTGCACGTCCGCCTCTTAATCACGAGCATCTGGCCGCCTTTGCCTTCATTCACCAAGCTTTCTTCTCAAGTCGTCGGCGGTTTTCGCCTTCCAATTCGTTCGCCTCGCAGTTTCTCGTTCGTTCCGAACTGCAACTCGCATCGTTCGTTGCCTACGTCCAACTCGGGTCTTGCGCCGCAGGATCTTGTCACTCGTGCGAGGTGCGAGCCATCCTGGCCGCGACAGCTATGAGCGAAAGCGCTTGGAAAGCGGACGCTTGCTGATCGCAGGTGTCGAGCCAGTGAGGACGCAGGAACGCGGCGAACAACGGCTTCGCAGGACTCACCGAAGGCAGTACACCATGCAACAGCTACTGTACGAGAGCTAGCTACCTGTGCACCCGGGAAAAAAGCGACAGCACTGACCTCTCCCTCGACTCTCTTCCTCCTCCTCTATCCTCACTGAATTCGCGCTTCTGCCGCTTGATCGCTTCGAACGCGCTCTCTGCACCCTTTCAAGCTCTCTCGCACGCCCAGCGCGCTTCTGACCAGCCTCGCACGCCATCCTCGCCCCGACCTCTTCATCAGTTCTCGCACCTCTTTCGCGATGGGCGTCGACAAGGAGCGCTTCACGACCCCGCTGCCGAGTCATCTTCATTGTGGAGTCTGCTTCGAGATCTCCTACCCCGCCGTCATCGTCTGCGCCCAAGAGCATCACGTCTGCCAGCCTTGTTACACCAAGATCGAAGAGTTGGCGTGCAAGGGCAAGTGCCCGCTCTGCCAGCAAGCGATGATCGAGCCTGTGCGGCCTTCGATCCTGTTGCGGCGCGCTGTTGACGAGTACAGGGGTGTTGAGGCGTGCGACGTCGCCGTCTTCGAAACTCGCTGACCGTTTTCTTCCAGGTTCACTTGCCGGAACCAAGCCCGCGGCTGCTATTGGACCGGTTCTGTTGCGGACGAACACAATCATGCTCTGCAGGTGCGTACGCGAGGCTTGGGATACGTCGCACCTGCTCATCGACGCGTTCACCGGGCAGTGCGACTTCAGCTACATCTCCTGCGCTTTCTGCAAAGCCGTCTGCATCCGCCACAAGTTCTCCGAGCACCACAACGTCTGCCCCGAGGTCATGATGGTCTGCCCGCAAGGCGGTCGCCACTGTGGCGCGATGCTGAACGGCGGGATGCGGAAGAGGCGTGAGATGCAAGCGCATCTCGACAGCGAATGCGGGAACTGGAAGTGTGTACTACCTCCTCGGCGCTTTCACTTGATGATCGCTGACGCGAAGACGAACCCTTCTTCCTACAGATGCCGCGCTGTCGAAACTTGCGAGACTCGGACGAAGCGCGCGAATCTCGCTCAGCATGAGGCAGTTTGCGACGCGGGAGCTAAGCTTGTGATTCGGCTCGAGAAGCGTCTTGTCGAGCAGCAGGCCGAGATCAGTGCGCTCAAGAGTGTCCTTGCCCAGCACCAGGCCAAGGTCGGGGCTTTCGAACCGACGCAGCCTGCTTCCGCCGCATCGACCAAAAAGGAGGAATTTCTGTGCCGGTCTTTCTCTGCTGCGTTCGAGGAGTCGCTTGCTAAAATAAAGGCAGCCAGCACGCGCAGCAAGGACTTGAACAAGCGCAAGGCCTCCTCGTCCGGCGAATCGAGTTCCAACTCCGCCTCTTCCTCCGGCGGCAGTACCTCGGCATCTTCCTCTCGCTCTAACAACTCTTCCTCCGCCACACCGGACGCCAAGAGGCTGCGACGCTCGAACAGCGGTTGATGACTTGCAGCGGGAGTCGGCGAGTTGTCAAGCCTGTCGCTGTCCGACCTTTCTGCGGGCCATCTCTTCCTCTTTTCAAGCGTTCACCAATGGCTTGTACGTCGGCGCAGGGTGGTTTCGCGCAGAGCATGGCGCCGTCTGGACGTCTCGCTTTGCAAATTGTTCACCTCGAGTTCGCCGATTCGTTGCGGCGCTTCCAGAGAGGACAGCTCGCTTAAAGGTCTCCATTGCGCAGCTATTGGAGGAGAACAGGTAGAGAAAGCCTTCGTTGTCGCCGCCGTCGACAGGGGGTCCTCGATGTTGAAGGACAGCCTTCGTCTTTCGCTCTCCTTTCGACTGCTGCACTCGCTGGGCATGTCCAGGATCCCCGTGCCTACACACCACACACCGCAGCAATCCACACAACCCGCCTCACCCGCCATGTCGCGCCCCAGCCAGCGCTCGCGTCCAGAGAGCGTCTACTCGGCGTCAGGGTCGAGCTTCGTCTCGTCCGCATCCGCCGTACCCAGTACGCCGCCCACGAGCGTCGGAGGAGGAGATGGGCTCGCAGAGACGCGCAAGAGGCAGAGCAGGAGGGACGAGGTCAGTCGAATCGGCGCTCGCTCCTTCGCGCAGGTTCATCGACGCGCAGACTTGTCGTGGCTGGACTGGGTGGACTGCGGCGGATCAGGCAGATCCAGAGAGGCGCTAGCATAGGCTGGCGATGCACGGCGGACTTTCATACGGAGGTGCTCCGCGTCCTCCGACTTTCACTTGCGCTCGAGGAGGACTTGTTCTGCGGCTCTCAGGAGTGCGCGATGCGCTACTTTCGAGCACGTGCACAACGCTTCGACGACGTCACGAATGACGAACAAGCGGAAACTGACGCCTTCTTCCCCGCGACAGGCTATCCGCAAGAAGATCGAGTCGGAGCTCGCTCGCAAGCGCCCTCCCTCGAAGCGCAGCGGCACCACCGGTGGAACCTCTCACCGCGCGCCGAAGCCCAAACAGGGCACCGTCTCGGCCCTTCGCCCGCTCCCCGCTCTGACGGTTCCTGCGGCTATGAGCGTTGCGGACGCTAGTCAGCTTTGCGCGGCGAAGAGGACCGACTGCGTCCTCGTCGTCGACGAGAACGAGCACTTGTGCGGAATCTTTACGGCAAAGGACTTGGCCTTCAGGGTGAGTCGGCGTGCTCCACGAGGTCGTGCGATGCGAAAGTCGCTTATTCTCCCCGACCCTACAGGTCGTCGGCGACGGCCTCGACCCTCGCAACACGCCTGTCAGCGCTATCATGACGCCCAACCCGATGGTCACGCGCGACACGACCTCCGCGACTGAAGCGCTTCAAACCATGGTCACCCGTGGCTTCCGTCACCTCGTGCGTCGATTCCTCACCCACACTCACGCCCTTCTTCTGACGCTGTCATCCCGCAGCCCGTCTGCAACGAAGACGGCGACGTTGTCGGTCTCCTCGACATCACCAAGGTCTTCCACGAGTCGCTCGAGAAGCTCGAGAAGGCGTACGGCTCGTCGCAGCGACTGTACTCGGCGCTCGAGGGTGCGCAAGAGCAGTTCGGCGCAGTCGACACTGGTGCTGCCAACCCGCTTCTCGCCTACGTCCAGGCTCTGCGGGACAAGATGTCCTTCCCTGACCTCGGGTCCATCCTCGACGCTCGCACGACTGCTGCGACTGTCGGCGTCAAGACGAGCGTTCGCGAGGCTGCCAAGCTCATGCGGGAGAAGCGCACGACGGCAGTCGTCGTGGTTGAGGGCGATGGCAAGAAGATTGCCGGCATTTTCACCTCGAAGGACGTCGTCTTGCGCGTCATCGCTGCCGGTCTCGACTCGAAGACGTGCAGCGTTGTTCGCGTCATGACGCCTCACCCGGATGTCGCTCTTCCCAGCTTGAGTATCCAGGACGCCCTCCGCAAGATGAACGGTGCGTCTGCTCGAGCCTTTCCAGCGACCTTAAGCTGACCTTTCCCCTCACGCAGACGGCCACTACCTCAACTTGCCCGTCGTCGACGAGGCGGGCGCGCTCATCGGCATCGTCGACGTCCTCAAGCTTACGTACGCGACGCTCGAGCAAGTCAACTCGCTTCACGTCGAGGGTGGCGCCGACGCTGCCGGCGGTCCTCTGTGGGGCCGCTTCTTCAGCGCTGCTGCACAGGCTGCCGGCGACGACGACGACACCGAATCGATGGTCTCGGGCGTCAACGGTTCCGAAGCGGCTTCGTCGCAGGCACCGCCGTTCCAGACGCCTACTCGGCCAGGCTACCACCGATCGAAGGACAGTATCGACACGCCTGGATCGGAGCTGTACCCGAACGACTCGGCTTCCGTCATCCACGACGATGGCGCATCGGACCTTGCGCCCGCTCCTCGTCGTCCCGGTCAGGCTTCGAGCGTCGGCGGCGCGTCGAGCCAAGCTCTTCCCATCGTCGATGACGGTACCTACCTCTTCAAGTTTGTTGCGCCTGGCGGGACGACCCACCGCTTCCAAGCGCGCTACGACTCGCACGAGTTCCTCCTCGACATCGTCTCGGGCAAGCTTTCGTCCGACCCGTTCTTTGCCGAGCAGTCAGAGGACGAGGCGTTGCCCAAGGCCGACCCGAAGGACTTCTCGATCAGCTACCGCGACGACGATGGCGACCTCGTCCTCATGACGGCCGACCGCGACGTCACGGACGCCGTCCAGACGGCCAAGCAGCAGGGCAAGGACCGCGTCGTCTTGCACGTCTCGGGCGGTCAGAGCTGGAAGGCTGCGCTTGCAGCGAAGGAGGATGCAGCGGCTGCTGCGCCGGCAGTCGCGACGACCAAGAAGCTCGTTGTAGTCGAGGAGGGGGACGAAGAACGGATCGAGGAGGAGGAGCAGGACGCCGCGGCTGAGCCCACCAAGCGCAAGTCGAGCAAGAAGGCTCCCGCAGGCGACGAACTCGTCGGCGGCGTCTTGCCGAAGGAGTACCTCCTCCCGGCGTCCATCGGTTTCCTCGGCGTCGTCATCGCAGGCGTCTTCATCGCCTCCCGCGCGTCTGCGTCGTCTAGGTAGACACGTCTAGCCCTCGTCTCGCAGTATACCCTATCTCACGTCCACATGTCCTCTTGTATCACTGCCCACGAACTATCGCACAATCTCCGCCCTCTTTCGTCTTTCTGTCTTCCTCGTCTGCCTTAGTCCTCCCTCCACTCATAGTCTGATGGAACTCAGCTAGTATCTCAGCCGTTGTGGGATTCGGATGCGTCTCCGAGTGGCATAGGCTGGTACCGCAACCGTCAACCTGCGATTCCCTCGGCGGGTTGAGCGAGTGAACGGAGGAGCGTTGAAGGCCAAGTCTTGCTGCAACTTGTGAGCAGCAACCTTTGTCACGACCAGACGAGCAGAGCGATTCGAAAAGCATGTATTGCGTCGCCGTCTTGCGTCTACCTCCGCTCAGACAATCGTCTCGAGCTCCTTCGTGTACCGCAGCGTCGCCTCGACCACCTTGCTCCTGTCGAGCTCCCTGCCGTCTGCGCCGGTCGCGAGCGTCGCGGGAACGTTGCCGAGTGCGGTGCGGTTCGAGGGGTGCAGAGGCGAGGAGGGGAAGTGGAGGAGCGAGGTCGAGGGGTCGAGATGCCAGTTGCGCTGCATCGGGAGCAACGGAAAATGAGTACTGTTCTCGTGCTGGACGAGCGGGCGAGAGATTCGCTTTGACACGCCACGCACCTGCTTCGCAAACTCCTTCACCTCCGCCTCACTGTCAAAGAACAACAACGTCTTCGCATCCCTGAGCGGCAAGCTCTCGTACGCGCGCTCGTCGCACGCGGCGATCTCGGAGCGAACGGTGGAGAGGAGAGTCGAGGTGAAGTGGGCGAACTCGGGAACGGGGAGGGAGGAGTGGTGCGAGGAGGAGCTGCAGAGGGACCAGACGCGCGAGTAGGACCCTTCCATCAGGCATCGCTCGAGCTGTTCGGCAGGAGGCGAAGTCGGGATGTCAGCTCTACACTTCACACGGGACGCGCTAAGACTCCCAATGACAGCCACCGAACGCACCTGCATCACCCATCCAACCTCCTTACTCTCCAACACATCCTTCTTCTGCCCCTCATCTTCTGCCAGCGTCTCAACGAGCGTGTGGAACTCGGCGATGCGGTTTTGCGAGAGGAGACGAAGGAGCGAGAGGGCGAGGATGGAGGGTTCGAGGCGCGAGCGGGGGAGGTGGGAGCTGTGCGGGCGCGCAAGGGGTCAGTACGCTGCGAGTAAGGTCTTAGACTGAGAGATACGCACGAAAGATCGGAGTAGTAGGCGGAAAGGAGGGAGAGGTAGCGCTCGAAAGCCGGAATGTCGTCTGTTCGGATCGAGAACAGCGCGCCAATCTCGAGGACTTCGCCTGTACAATTCCGACCAAGAAACATCATCAGTTACTGGACGTGCGGAAGGTCACGGCAGCGCGGAACTGGCGTGGCTAGCGAACGTACGGGCCGTTGTCAACGCGCCGGCCTCGTGTGATTTTGCGTCGGGGAAGAGGAGGCCCAGCTCGGACAGCTCAATCTGTAGAGTACGTTGACAAGGTCAGCTGAGATTCCGGCGTGTTGCGTGAGACGTGTAGAGGCGATTCTGCAGTGCGGATTGAAGGCGCGAGAGAAGCGGCATCCTCGAAGGGCCTTCGCTCGCCTCCAGACTGCCTCGCGCGCCTTTCCTTGTTACCCTGATCCCCTTCGCGAGCACTCCACCCTCCATGACTGCCGAGAGCAGCGCATGACGAGACCCCTGCCACACACACTCATCCACCCTCCGCACCAGGCTTGAACCCCTGCAAATGCTGCCAGAGCTCGCCGAAGCACCCAACTTGCCACTGCACGCGCAAGTAAGCCCACTCACCTTGAGTTGCGCGAGGAGAGACCTGATCTTGGCCTGGTCGCCAGCGCCGTTCGCCCACTCGCTCGTGAGCTGCCCGTACAGCCTGGTCGCCTCCTGGTTGCCCATGTCGTTGTCGTGAGAGAGGTGGAGCTGCTCGAGCTGCGTCGAGGGCGTTGCGACGGCGGGACGCTTCGAGGAGGCGGAGGTGGGCGACGACGGGCGCTTGCGCTTTGCGGGCTGGGTTGAGGGTGCCAGGGTGGACTGTGTGCGAGTCTGGAGAGCAGTAACGAGCCAGCACGAGCTGTGAAGCAGAGTGGACGAGTCCAACCCGCTGACGACGACACTCGTTGACCTCGACACCTTCGCTTGCACGCTCTCACAGCGCTTGACTGGTCTCGCTAGCACTCTCATCGCATCCGCAACCTTCTAAAACCCCGTCGCCGCCCTTTGAACCGCCCGAATCGAGCTCGCCGTCCTCCCTTCTCCCCCTCTCCCTCCGAAGCGATGCAACACCCGTCGCAAGCCACGACCCTCACGCCCAACGTGTCGCGCCTCAAGGCCGGCGAGATGAACCTCGGAGTGCGTACTTTCCACCCGTTTCGAGCGAGGCAAATGGAGCTGATTTCGCTGTCCTCCTCCTCCAGACCTCCATCATGGCTGTTGCGTTCGAAGGCGGCGTCGTTGTCGGCGCCGATTCGCGCACGACCATGGGGTCGTTCATCGCAAACAGGGTGACCGACAAGCTGACTTACCTGAGCGACCGCATCTACTGCTGTCGCTCAGGGTCGGCAGCGGATACTCAGGCTCGTACTTTGCCTTGCGCTTTCTGCTCTTGTTTGCTGACCTTGCACTGTTGTGCAGGCGGTTGCGGATGTGGTTACGGCGCAGCTGAGTCAGTACGAGATGACGCACGGGGAGAAGCCAACGGTTCACATTGCGGCTACGATGCTCGAGAGCATCATCTACCAGAACAAGTGAGTTCAAAGACCTTTCTATGGGTTGACCGTGGGTTATCATGGGCCATTGAGGGGTAGAAACTGACTCGACCCTTGCAGGGATCGCCTCTCCGCCGGAATCATCGTCGCAGGATGGGATCGCATCGGCGGCGGCCAGACCTACAACATCCCGCTCGGAGGGGGTCTCTTTGCCGCACCCTGGTCTATTGGAGGTAGCGGGTCGACGTACGTGTACGGGCACGTAGACGCGACTTATCAAGAAGGATGGGACAAGGACCGCACCATGGACTTTGTCAAGCAGAGTGAGTCCCGCTTTCTCCTTCCTTGCCTTCCCTTGAGCTGACACGGCTTTGCGCCCACAGCTCTTTCACTCGCCATGTCGCGCGACGGATCTTCAGGAGGAACGATCAGGATGGCGGTCATCACGAAGGAGGGTGTCGAGCGCATCTTCGTCCCGGGCGACAAGCTGCCGAACTACAACGACAGGGTGGAGTAGCGCTTGAGGGTCGTCGTGTAAATCAGTCGCTTTCGCTTGAATGGCGTTCCTGTCGCTTCTGCTTCGCATCTGCTTTCCCGCTCTCGTCTGGCACTCGCCGCACTCTCGTCTCTCGAACGAGCTGATGAATGACGCTACTGCATTACGGAATTGCTTCAGCAGGACGGGGGAACCGCGCCGCAGGCGAACGAGGTGGTGGAAGGTCATGGCTGGCTCAACGCGACTGATGCGCGGCCCTCCTTCAACTTGCGAGCAGTAGCGGATATGGCGCAGAAGAGCATGATCGAGAGGACGAGTGGGATGAGATGGTTGGCGAAGCCGGCGCGCTTCTTGCGCGTTCGAGGGGTCCACCGGAAGCGATGTGCGCATTTCTCAAGCACACACGTGCGCACATGAGCCTTGAGGCACTGCTTTGCGTGCAGTTCGTGGCAGCAGGGGCAGGTGTCCGGGGCCCAGTCGCACTGAGAGGGAGCGTGTCAGCGAGCCCGCTATCCCTCCGAGTCGAGGCAGGAGTACTCACGCGCTCCTCGTGCTCGTGGTGCCTGCCTACGGTACTGATGTAGCTGCACTGTGGATGAGCGCAGCGATAGCTGTCGGAGCGACCGACGAGGTCAGTAACGCGGGCTGGACGTCGACTCGAGGACTCTGAAAACGCACCGCAACGCCTTGATCGCGTTCAGCCTGAACATGCAGTACTTCGGCCGTGCAAGCATGCAATTGAGGCACAGCGGACATCTCGGCGGCCAAGCCCGCTGGCAGATTCGCCTCCAACAGTCTTCGCAAAGCACATGTTCGCGCCTACAGACGGCGACGGGTGGATAGGCAACGTCAAGGCAGACTGGACAGCTGAGATCCTCTGGTACAGGCTCTATGAAGCGGTCGCCGTCGATTCCCATGACGGGAGAATCTCGAGGAGGTCAGGAACTGATGAAGAGGACAGGCTTGGTGGGAAAGCGTCGCGCCAGCGTGCGACGAAAGCTGTGGCCTCGAAAGGAGTCTCGGAAAGCGACGAGCACGCGCAAGGAAGTCAAGCGGGAGGAGTGAGCGAAAGCGGCGAAGGGCAGGAGGCAGAGGCAGGAAAAAGCAGTGAGCAAATGGCTTTGTCTCGACAAGCTAGACTAGCGGCTTCGTGAAGGCGTTGAACAGTACAGAAGAAGCCGCCTCGAAGGCCTCATAATCGCGAAGGGTGAGTAAGCGGTTCGAGGTGAAGCAAGTTTCTCCTCGCTGGTATCGCCCCATGAGGCTGAGAGCGGAAACGAGGGGCATGCAAGTCAATCACTTCGATACTCGCTATAGAACAAAGACAAGGGATGTGTTGCGCAGAGGAAGGGCGTCCATGCCTGGCGTGGACGGAAAGAAGGGCTTCGACGGAAAGCTCGATGCTCATGCATCCGCAGGTTCCGGCTTGACCGAATTGCGACGACTGGGCGAAGGTCGTGCATCGGAGGCGTCGGCGAAGGCCTGGCTCGATCTTCGTTTTGCTGCGATGCGAGACGAGCGCTTCGTCGCCTGTCCGGCAGGGTCGACGTTGGCGCAGGAGCTCGACGTAAGGACGCCTTTGTTAATCGATGCGGATTGCTTGTCTGTCGCCGCGGACGACTCCACCGGGTCCGTCGATGTTGACGAGGTGACCATGCTGGCGCGGCGCTTCTCCTCCTCCGCGAGCTTGGCCGTCAGGTCGCTCTTCTCTTCCTCCAGGGCGTTGCAGCGCTCTGTGCTGGCGTCGACAGCGTTTCTGAGTCTCAGGATCTCCCTGGCAAACGCCTTGATATTCTCGTGATCGGTGGAACAGCCTTCTTCGTGCTTCGCAAGGTTGGCACGCGTCGTGCGCGTCTCGCAGCCCTCGACCGCACGGCATCTGCGGGTCGATATCTGTTAGCAAATGCGCACGTCGTAGGAAAGGACGCAACGCACGTCCATTGGGCGCATTCCTCGTCGATATGCGTTGGCATGACGCCTCTTCCGCCAGCCATGGTTCTTCCGCCCTCCGCAGTCCTTGCCGCCTTGTGGGCATTCGATCTTGACCTCAGGGCAGGTCTTGTAATGAGCCTCGAGATCGGTCGTCTTGTAGAGCCTGCGGCAATGCGAGCAAGGTGACTGGCGGAAGGCGCACTGCAGGTCTGACGGTGTCAGCGGGTCGATTCAAAGCGGGCCAGGACGTTCACTCACGCCTGCTTCGTGCGCTTCGTCGTTTTGGGCGGGTCCGGTCCACGCACAACCGGGATTCCTACACTTCACCCTGCAAGCAAAGGTCGGATCAGCGCCTCCAGCGCGTTCCGCCTCTCCTTCTCCTGAGCCACTCACTTGTACGCCTCAAACGCTCGGTTCAGCATGGGAGATCTCCGTACGTTCAGCTTCAACGGCGCAGCCGCACAACCTCGATCGGGACAGGTGTCGGTTGCGTAGAGGGTGAACGCGCAGGCGCTGCATCGTACATGTTCGCTAGCGCATAGGAGGTAGGGCGGATAAGCGGCATTCTTGCAAGCGGGGCACTTGAGGAGGTCGGGTAGAGTCGAGGTGAATCTGTCGAGGGCGATGGACGGCATGGCTGTTCGAGACGGGCGTCGTGGGCGTGGGCGCGTGTACGAACGGTCGTGTGCTAGGCGTAAGACAAGATGCAAGCGCGTTCAGGCAGCCAAAGCGAGCAGGAGACAGAGCGACTAAGAGGGAGGAGGAAGAGCGCGACGGGGGAAACAAACAAGGGTGGTCAACGCGTTCGGTGGGTCTGCCAACTGCGACAGAACTGCGACGGTCTTCCTAGATCCTTGGTGGACGCGAAAGCCTGGTCGACGCGTGAGGAAGCGCTTTCGACGACGCCGACAGCAAGTCCTTGCGCTGACGATCGCTTCCCTCGCTTTAATCGCATCGCTGTACATCCGAGACAACGAGATGCAATGCAAGTTGAAGCGAACGAGCCCGCGAGGGCAAAAGCGGAAGAAAACCTTTAGAAAGTCCGAGCGAATGAAAGGCGAAGGCGAAAGGAACAAGCGACAACTCGAGATGACGGCTCAAAACTCGGGCGAAAGGCGAGGCGACTTGTCGGAGCGAACGGCTGGGCGAGGTCCACCGCGCTTGAGACGCATGCGAGGAGGCGAAGAGCGCGGACTCAACTCGGAGTCTTCGTCGCTGGGCGCCTTGCGCTTCGATGCGATGCGGGCGGAGCGTTTCGGGCCGTGCGCGAGTTCGTCAGCCTTTGAAGTTGAGGCGGCGGGTTCTTCGGCCTGCGGAAGGAGATCCTCGGTATCGCTCGAGGAAGGGAAGACCTTCTCCTCCTCGTCGCTCGAAGCGGTCAAGTCGAGCGCCTTGTTGGTCGCGCGCTGGTCAGCAAGCTTCGCATTCTCCTCGATGGTGAGCTTGAGCTGAAGAATCTCGTCGTAAGCGGCGCGGCAGCCCTGTTCGTGCTCGTCAAGGTTGGCGAGAGTCGTCTTCGTCCTGCATCCGGGAACGGCGGAGCACCTGCGTGGGCGCATCGATCAGCGCTGCGGCAGAGATGAATCAAGGAGCGCACGTACTGCCACTGAGCGCATTCGGTGTCGAGGTGCTGCTGCATGAGACGACGCCTCCTCATCCCGCCCGCCTTGAGACCGCCGCAGTCTTTGCCGCCCTGCGGGCACTCGATCATCTGTTCGGGGCAGACCTGAAGGTGCTCGGTGCGCTGCGAGACCTTGTAGAGAGTCTTGCAGGCCTTGCAAGGGACCTTGCGGTGCTGGCACTGCGGGAGGCGGTAGTCAGGCGGTTGCGCCCAGTCGAAGAGCGCCGGCTATCACTCACACCGGAGGAGTGCTGCTGGTCGTTAGCGACGCTGCCTGTCCAGGGGCATCCGTCGTTTGCGCATCGGATCCTGCGCGAGGTGAGGTCAGCCAAGTCCACCCAAACTGCGGCTCGCACGCACTTGTAGTCCTCGACGGCCCTATTCATAAGCAGCGACGGCCTGAGCGGGAAGACCATGCCCTGCCTGCAGGTCGGGCAGGCAAACGACTGGGCTTTGACGAGGCGATCCGCGCAGGTCGCGCAGAGGGCGTGTTCCGACCAGCAGACAAGGACAGATGGATACGCCGCTTCGAGGCAGACTGGGCAGTGGAGGTACTCGGGCACTTTCTTGACGAAACGGTCGAGGTCGAAGCCCATCGTTGCCGGGTTGCGATGAGGAGGACCAAGGCTTCGGGACGTCGAGGAAGGGCTCGCGAAGGTGTGCGCGCAGCACGAGCAGTCAGTACAGAGCTGTAGAGTATCCGCTCGATGCGCCTAGAGCCGTTTAGCGGAGAAAGCAAAGGTAGCGAGCGACCGGAAAGAGGGAGAGGAGCAGGAGGAGGAGGGGCAGAGGTTTCGACGCTTTGAGTCGGTCTGTCGCCTTCAAGTGGCTAATATGAACGTCCTTCGTCCCACTATCGACGCGAGGGAGCGCTCGGGTGCCAGGCAGCCTCCGCTTCCCCCCTCGTTCTGTCTTCGAGAAGCCTGGGTTTCCCGCTCGTCTCCGCACTGGCATGCGCTGCTCGATAGTAGAAAAAGGATGCATTTCAACTCGAATCGGACGTGACGCAGCGGCGAAGCGGTCGGAAACTGGACGAGCACGACGGCGAAGCGGAGAAACGAACGCAGACAAAGCGAGGCGGCTTCAAGTCTCGGCGGCGCACAAGAGGTGCATGCGCTTCTTAGGCGTCTCATTCGAGCGGTCGAGAATGCGGGGCCTTTGGAAGGTGGGAGCAGGCGGAGGGTCGCCATAGACGTCGATGACGAAGTAGTCGTTGGCCTCCTCGTACTCCGCCGTCGAACGGAAGAAGCGCTTTGGCAGTTCAGCGGACATGTCGGCCCACCTGTAAGTCGAGACGACCTGACTCGAAGACGTCGACGTGAACATCTGTTGCTCGTCAGCTGCGAGAAGCGCCTTGTCGGTCGAGGTCGCGAAGTCAATCATCTCGACAATCTTGTCGGGCACACGCTGTTCGGCAAGCTTGGCGTTCTCCTCAACCGTGCGCTTGAGGTGGAGGATCTCCTCGTGAGCTGCGCGGCAGCCCTTCTCGTGCTCGTCGAGGTTGGCGCGCATCGTCCTCGTCTTGCAGTCAGGAACGGCGCGGCACCTGCACAGCGAAGTCAGCCAAGGTACGACATCAGTTGTGATACATGAGAAACTCACTGCCAGTGCGCGCACTCCTTGTCGAGGTGCTCCTGCATGAGGCGACGCTTCTTCCGCCCGCCCGAGGATCTGCCGCCGCAATCCTTGCCACCCTGCGGGCAATCGATCGTCTTCTCGGTGCAAACGTCGAGGTGTTCGTCGCGCTGAGAGAAGACGTAGCGAGAATCGCAGAGTCTGCAAAAGACCTTGCGGAACGGACACTGCAGACAACAAGTCAGACGGGCTGTCGGGGTAGAGCTTCGGCAAGCTACGCACCGAGTCTGAGTGCTGCTCCTCGTTGACGACGGTGCCCGTCCAGGAGCATCCGTCGTTCTCGCACTTGATCCTGTTGACGCGAATACAGGTCAGCTAGTCGCTTCTGTCGTATTGAAGCAAATGACTCACTTGTAGCCCTCGATCGCGCGCTTGATGAACAGCGAAGGCTTGAGCGGGAAGACCATGCGCTGCCTGCACGTCGGGCAAGCGTACGACTCGTTGGCGACGAAACGGTCTGCACACTGGCGGCAGAGCGCATGTTCTGACCAGCAAACGAGGACCGGCGGGTACGCCGCTTCGAGACAGGCGGGGCAGCGCAAGTGCTGGGGAACCTCCTTGTCGACGAAACGGCCGAGGTCGACGCCCATCTTGCCGAGTTGCGATGAGGAGGAGGACGGAGGAAAGAGCGCTCGCGAAGGTGTGTGCGCGGCGCAGCCAGTCAGTAAAGAGCTGTAAAAACTCGTTCGACGTGCTCAGAGCCGTTTAGCGGAGAAAGCGAAGGTAGCGAGTGAGCGGGAGGAGGAAGAGAGCGAAAGTGCAAGATCCCGCCTCCCCATGGCTCGAGTGACTGCCTAGACCGCCGTTGAGAAGGCTAGCACACTTGTCCGCAGCAGCGCCGCGTACGAAGATCCTTGCGAGAAGGGGAAGAAGACGTAAACCTCGCTTTTTCTCCTCCTCGCTCGGTCGCTCGCAGGCTTGGGACCGTAAGGCTGGGAATGCATACAATGCGTCTCTTGAATTGCAGGACCGAGCCGGTTCGAAGCGGAACGGCGAAAGGAGAGCCCACAAGCGGAGAAGCGAAAATGGCGGCGTGCGGCATCCTCGCGCAGGTCAACTCACGCCTCGGTACGCCTCGTCTTGGCAGAGCGAGACAAGTCGGTAGTCGAGGCACCAGTAACCGAAGAACTCGAGGCAGCCGCACCGTCCAGGGCGGGACCATCGGGCGGACCGCGCTTGGAAGCGAGACGAAGAGAGCGCTTGACGCCCTGCGTCGAGACGGCAGTTTTGGCAGCAGGCGTGACCTCCTTGTCGGTCATCGTCGTCGAGTTGATCATGCTCGAGCGCTTCTCCATCAGCTCGTCGTAGAAGACAGCGATTTTGGACAACCTGTCGACCTCATTCGAGAGAAGCTCGTTCGAGGCCTGCTTCTCCTTGATAGACTGTTTGAGCTGCGCAAATTTGTCGTTGGCAACACGGCACGCCTTCTCGTGCGCCTCGAGGTTAGCCGAAGTCGTCTTCGTCGGGCAGCCCTTGGTAGCGCGGCACCTGCGAGACGGGATCAGACGGCGTTGGAAGTTCAAAGAGCGGAAAAGACGCACTTCCACTGAGCGCACTCCGTCTCGAGGTGCTTGGGCATCAAGCGACGCTTTCGGAAGCCGTGCGAGGCCCTGCCGCCGCAGATTTTGCCGCCCTGCGGGCACTCGATCTTCTTCTCGGGACAGGTGTCGTAGTGAGTCGAGAGCTGCGAGTAGATGATCGTCCTGCTGCAGTGCGGGCAAGGTGTCGGGCGGAAGGTGCACTGCGAGCACGAAAAGCGAGGCGCAAGAGGATCGGCGTTGTAGTCTGGCTAAGTCAGAGACTGCAAACCTGCGCTTACCACAATGCCATGCTGGGTGTCCTCCGTGATGCTACCCGTCCACGAACAGCCCTCGTTCTTGCACGTGAGTTTGAGAGAGAACCGAGGTCAGCGCGGTCAGCACCCTCCCATTCTCTTGCGCTTGAACTCGCCTGTACGCTTCGATCGTCCTCTTCAACAGCGGCGAGGGGCGAGGCTGGGCGAGAAGCGCGCGAGAGCAGACACCGCAGTTGGCGGCGACTGGACCGGCAGGAGGAGGTGCGGCAACAGCGCCCACAATGGGGGCGGCGGGAGGCTGGATGCAGGCCGCGCACTTGACGTGCTCGTTCGGGCAAATGAAGTACGGTTCATAGGCGACCTGGCGGCACCCTGCGCACTTGACGAAGTCCTGAACCTCCCAAGAGAACTTGAAGCGGTCAAGAGGGATGCCCATTGCTCGCGAGCGCGTGTGCGCGTGTCGTGCGCAATTAGCTTTGGAAAGGGCAGGAAAGCAGTTCGGGCGACCAGGCGCGGGTGAGCTGGTGAGCGAGCGAAGTCGAAGAGGGAAAGAGGCAGGCGCGCAGGCGAGCGCGACAGCTCCTCCGCGAGAGCGGTGAAGGGGCTTGCGAGCGATGATAGAGCGTTTTTGAGACTCTTTGATGCTCGTCTGACGTCCGTATACCCCTGCGAACCTTGCGTTACATCGCAGCTCGAAGTCTCGAGGGAATTGAAGGCACTCGCTTGCTACAGTAACATTACAGTTGCACACGGTTGCTGTCACGCCTGAGGAAGGTCCCGGAGTGCCCGCATGCGTTTGGGAAGCAGAGGCAGATTGCTTCTTGCGGCCCTCCGACGAACGATGCAGCAGTTGAGAGATTCGGCCGCACAGCAAGACGGCACGCTGAGCAGATGTTGTTGTAGCGCGGAGTGTGGGAAAGTCTTCGACGACAGAGTCGAGGTTGAATGCGTCGAGCGCCGTCAACAGCTCAGCAATGACCTTATCGACACCTTCTTCGCGCCCCGGAGCAGTACGCTCGAGGAGGATCTGCTCGGCGGCGTCGGAACAGCCCTGCTCATGTGCAGCCAGGTTGGCCAAGGTTGAGCGGGTATTGCAGCCGGCGACGACACGGCATCTGTGCGTTTTCGGGTCAGCATGAGTGTCATGTAGATGTGAGATGGATCTAAGTCGCACGCACCGCCACTGCGCACACTCTTCATCCAGATGCTTCCGCATCTCGCTCCGCCGCTTCTCCGGACAGAGGGGCCCGCCTTCGGGGCAGGGTATGAGCTTGCGTGCACAGACAGCAACATGGTCGGGTTCGATTGTGCAAGGCGTGTCGCGGAAAGTGCACTGGCAACAGCTCGCTTAGCTTGAAACATGACCCGGAGGAGAAGGGCAGACTCACTGTCTCGGCATGCTTCCGTTCATCAAGGAGGCAGCCAACCCAGTCACATGCGCAGTGGCGGCATGTGTACCTGCGCGAAGCCGAACCTGTCAGCGCACGGCATGGGTGCGAGGGGGAGGACCGTCAACCAACTTGTAATCCTCGATGGCGCGCTTGAGGACTGCTGATTGGACTGCAGGCATCAACATTGCCCTAGAGCACAACGGACATTTGCTTGAGCTTGGCGACTGTCGCAGTCTGACAGCGCATGTCTGGCACATATGGTGTTCGACGGCACACACGACGACGGGCGGATACGAGACGTCCATGCACACAAAGCAGAGAAGGTGCTCGGGGATCGAGGTGACAAAGCGCTCTACCGCCAAGCCCATGGCCTATTGTAGAAAGGGTGATAGAGCCGAGGGAAAGACACGCCGAGCGAAGTCCGGCGGAGACGTGGACCAGGGTTCCGAAGGCTTGGAATGAAGCGAGAGGGTGGAATCAAGCGAAAGGGTGGAAGGAATCCGTGGGACGCCTCAGAGCGACGAACGCCGAACCTGGCGAGAGGGATTGAGCTGGACGCTGAAGGGGAGGGGGAGTTCAAGATCGGCTGAGCTGGCTAGCGAGGTGAGAGGTAGCACGTCTGCCGCGTAAGCGTCGACTGTGAGTGCCTGACAATACAGTCTGGGCGGCCAAGTCGGTCGGAACGCGGGAGGTGAACCTACGAGCGGCGAGTCTGGTCAGTCTGGCCGTTCTCGCGCGCCCCTGGGTCACTGAGCGCTGATCGAGGCAGCTCAAAGTGGCCTGACACCTCTGTCCGTCACTTACAAGGCGACCGTGAAGCGTACTTGCGTAGTCCAGAACTGATCAAGAGGCTAGCTCGGCGGCAATGGCGGGCGACTGCCTGTGTGCGCGTAAGCGGTACAAGTACTCTGAGCGACGCGCAGGTCGTGCGAGCGAAGCGGTCCAGCAAGATTCGCCAGGAAGCGAGCGAGCTGCGGAGGAAGAAAGGGTGGTCGGGAGCGAGTGATGAGAAGGGGAAGTCCCGCCTCCCCATGCCTCGAAAGACCGACAGACGTGCCGCTCTGATCCCTCATAGACTTGCACCCAGCAACGCCGCGTACGAAGATCCTTGCGAAAGGCGAAGAGGACGCAAGACTCGCTGTCTTTCTCCTCTACTATACTGCTCGTACTCAAGGACGTTCCAAGATTCGCGTTGGGTCTACTCCTGCTAGTAGAATGCTAGATTGTTCCGCAGCAAAGATTGTACGGACACCGCGGCAGCGAGGCGATACAAAGGCGAGATGCGAAAGGCGGGTGTGGAAGGACGTGATCAGCTCGGAGGAGGTGCCGAAGGCGAGCATCCCAGCCATAGTCACTACGCTAGCGCTGGAGCGGGCGGAGAGGCTGGCGCAGACTCCTGGAGGACGGCGACGTGGGGCGAAGGAAGCGGTTTGGCGAGAAGTGCCGTCGCAGCGAGTGTCGCACGCCTGTGACGCCGCTTGGTCGCCCGAGTGAGTAGCTGCTTGACGAGGGTGCACGTCGAGACGGTACGCTCGGCGGGTTGACCCGCTGGCCAGTCGAACCTGGGTGGAGAGGCGTGTCTCGTCGGGTCGAGCGAGTCGAGCTTGGCGCGAAGTTCGGTGAGGATGGTTGCGAGGGTCTCGTTACGTCCCGAGAGGGCTTCTTCGAGCTTGGCAATCCGGGCGGCAGCGTCGGCGCAGGTCTTCTCGTGAGCGGGAAGGTTCGCAAGGCTGGTTCGGGTGTCGCAGCCCTGGACGACGCGGCACCTGTAGACAGCAAGGAGATCAGTACTGTGGCAATAGCGGCAAGCGAGTGAGCTGGACGTACTGCCACTGCCCGCAAAAGTCGCTGAGGTGCTTCTCCAACTCGCAACGCTTCTTCCGCGCACACCGTTTCCCACCTTGCGGACACAGGACGACCTCTTCAGGGCAGACCAACATGTGTTGGACGCTGCGTGAGTGCTGGTAGGGCGTCTTGCACAACGCGCACGGGATCTCTCGGAAGTCGCACTGCGAGGAGCAGGTCAGCGGAAGACGCTCTGGTCAACGAGGGCAGGACGCACCGATTTTGCGTGCGTCGGTTCGTCGAGAAGGCAGCCGACCCACTTGCAGCCGGTGTAGCGGCAGGTGACTCTGCGTATCGAAGCGTCAGTTCGGCTCATCCCGCCGCCTCCTCGAAGTCGCCAGACTCACTCGTAGTCCTCAATCGCGCGCTTGAGCACCCCCGACGTCCGCACCGGATCAAGCATCGTCTGCGCGCACATGGGACACTTGCCTTTGCTCGAGGACTTGCGCAACTCGGTCGCGCAGCTCTCGCACATCTGGTGCTCGAGAGCGCAGACGATGACGGGAGGGTAGGAGACATCGAGACAGACGAAGCAGTGGAGGTGTTCGGGAAGCTGAGTGGTGAAACGCTCGACGCCGAGACCCATAGAGCGGGAGGACAAGCGAGAGTACGGAGGAGGATACGAAGGTCTCGCGATGGATACGGTGCGAAGTCAGCAGGCGCGACGTCAGCGGTTGCGCAGACTCAGCAGCAGTAGGTTCGAGTGCGGTTTGTCGAGAACAGGCGAGCGATGTTGAGTTTTGACAAGCTGGAGTTGGCGTACTGCAGGCGGACGAAGGAAGTACAGATCGGCCGAAGACGCGCTGAGTCAATCCGGCGGGGTAGGGGAGCGCATTTCGCCCTCAGTAAGCTTGACAACAACGGAAAAAAGGTCGATGGAGCTGCTGGACTCGTTCGAGGTGTCGCGCCGACCTGTGCGAGAAGGACGAGGTCAACCACCGAACGCACGCATCGCAGAACACGAGTGCTTACCACGAGCGTCCGTTAAAGTACTTCGCGCCATCCTCTGCCGCTGAAAGGCTGCCACGCGCCTGTCTCCCGCCTGCGTAAACCACGACCCTGGGTAACTGATGAAGCGTTCCACCTCGACGATGACAGTGAGCCAGCGGCGGTGCGCACGCCAACAAGTCCCGTAACAATCGCTCTGGCAGCAGCGAAGCGTACAGCGCGCCCACGTCGAGTTGAGCAGGACGAGGAGCGAGGTGCGGGAGGGAGAGGTTGTATTGGCTGGCGATTCCGCCGTCATCGCGAGTCGAGAGCTCTATACGTCCAGAGCTGGCTCGCTCGACACGTAAGCACCTCAAGCAATGAGAAGCGGGGCAAGGAGTGCGGTGGTAGACGAGGAGATGCGTAAAATTGGGAGAGGCATGAACAACACACAACACTCAGACCGAACAGACTCCTCCCGACCTCCAAGGCTCACCCACCGCGTCCCCAGGTCCTCCCGCGACGAGGCGGCGAGTCAAACCTCGACCTCTTCCCTCCTCCTCCCCCTCCTCCCCCTCCTCCCCCT